CCATTCTATAATGTCCTGTACGGCTTCATAAACGCTTAACCCAACTATATGTCCCATACCACACACAGAATTGTGTGCTTGCTTGTGCAGGCTTCCTGGATCAGATGGAAGGAGTGGCATGGGTGCCCTCAGGCACGGGCAAACAAGGGCGTGTAGGCGCCAAGAACGACGAACTTCAGAATGGACATGTAACGAATACAACAGCCTGAAGAAGACCCGGGCATGTGTAGTGTAGGATCCTTAGCGATTAATTTGGGGGGCTCCTTATCATAACTATGGTACACTGGGCCCCGAAAATCTATTCTAATTGCTAAGGCCCTATAGTAGTGGGTTTACCTTTTTCAGCCAGAGTCAATGTGGTTGAGTCTATGAGCTCGCGTTTATTGCAGTTGGCCTTCGTGATGACACCTAGACATCTTGTCAAAAGCATCAAGCTAGCAGATCGGATGTTCATATTCTATCTAAATCCATGGATGAGATTTCCGAAATTTGCACCAACAGGCGTGTGCTCTACCCACGGGTGCGGGCCGTCACCCCGACTGCCGCCATCGTCAACCTGGCCACCCCCTTATCTATCGATGCCCCCCGACCTGAGGGGTTTAGGTTTTTGCGATTTATGCTTGGAGGCACTTCAGACAGTCCGTGTTCAAAACAAGGGGGTTTAGGATTAGGGGTGTAGGGGGTGGAAAGCTGAGACTTGTTTAGGGCTAGGGTTTCTCGGGCAGAGTTCAGGGCTGATGGTCACGACGTTGGGGTGGTTTTCGGAGGTGAGGGTGCTCTTGTCCTCGCTTGACTTGCAAGTTTGGCCCGGACTGCTAAACGTTAAGGACTTTACATAGAAGTCCCTTTGAACCCTGCAGTAGGCGCTAGACGCCACGACCCAGTGAGTAGAAGAAGCCTTCTTATACCCTGATACCCGAGGCCCAAGGGCCTCCCTCAAAGCAAAGACAGCACGAAAGAGCCACCCGAAAGGCTCAATAGGTGAGTAGAAGCGTTCTGGGTTCCTCCATGGTTCATCAGCCTTTAGCACCCTCAACAATCCTCAAAACCTGTAACATGCCTGCATAAAGACTGCTGCAACCCCTGCGAAAATCTACCCTCCACACGTTGCCTCTTGATTCCTCTAAATTCCCCAGCCTCTAGATTTCTCAAATTTCAATTCCCTAAGCCCTAAAATCCGAGACCCCAAGGTGTCCCAGCTGCCGCCGATGGTCTCTGCACGTTGCGACTTCGAGATGCCCCTAGGCCAAAGTTTCAGATGTTATGAAAAGCGGCCGGACTCAGGGTGTGTATATATATATATATATATGCATAATAATAAGAACAATAATGATGATCATAATGTGTGTATATATATATATATATATACGCATATGTATGTACTTATATGTTTGTATGTAACATTGTATGCATGCTACCTTTGTTTATGCAAGCACATGTATGCATATGCATATACATATACATATATCTCATTTATGTATGCATGTGTATGTATGTATGTACGCATGTACACACACAATTTGTTTGTTTACTTATGTTATGGGGTGGGGTTGACTGATGCATTTCCCAAGCTTGTTTGAGTCGTTGTCGCTTGAGCTTCCATTTGAAAGACAGCTCCGTGATCATAACGGCGCGTGTGCACACCATGCGAATAGTACAACACTGTACTTAGGGTTTAGGGGTTCAGGATTCCACAGGCTCCTCCGTCATTCAGTTTGCGGGCAAAAACAAGTTTGTGCAAAAAGAGGGGTTAGGGTTTAGGGTGAGGGTATGGTTGAGGCCCGAAGCTTCGCCCGTTTTTGTGTGGCAGTTGGCGTTTCGTTGCAGCCATGCATGTACGTTTCATGTTTCCCTGCTTGAACCTGCTGTACGCTTGGGGAAGTAGATAAGTAGATACTGTCGGGGTTGGAACAATGAGTTAACAGTAATTGAGTTTCTCCCCTTCTCCGCGCTCACGAGAGAAGCAACGTGCACAAACAAGCTTATCGTAACCCCTACAATATCCTCTCACAGAACCCCTGCAAGGACCCAATTCCAACTATGAAGGCCTCTACATCACTTACTGTAGGCTTCCAGCATTTCGCAGTCTGCTTGCAAGGGGATGTCCATACAGCCTAAGTTTTGGACCCTACTTTCCGATACCCTTCGGCTTGCACCCGAGGTGGACATAGTAATAATATTCCATAACTATAGTCCCAGTACGGCAACACTACAGCACATGCAAAAGCACTGTTCTAACTCGCTAGGCACCTCAGACGGTGATGAACACCTGGTAAGGCCCCCTGGATAACAGCCTGAACACTCTACACTCTAAACTGAACACGTTTGAAAGTCCTTATAGGAACCCTTGCACCTAATCCCGAAACCGGGCGGGTGGGAAAAAATCCCGAAACCCTAAGCCCTGCAATGCGGGCTCGTCCATATCCGGAAAGGGGCATGCAAACCCCTAAACCCTAAAACCCCAAACCCTAAACCCTAAACCTTAAGCGAAGTCTTTGTTCCTTACAGTCGTCTCCATTAGACCCAAAATGCCTACTACTAGGGACCATATATCTCTGTTTGAGGCTACACTGGGCACAAGGAGGGTCCTGGTTTGTTCTTTACAGTCCTTCAATAATTAGGGACCATATATCCCTGTTTCAGGGCACAGGGAGGGTCCTCCGGTTTGTTCTTTACTTACCTCTGGTTAGTAGGGAATGGAGGAATGGGGTACAATTACAACTACTATGACTACCATTCTTCAATTCCCTACTAACCAAAAGGTCAGTTTAGGGTAATGTAAGAGCCTTAATGGTTAGAATAGGGTTTGGGGCACAAGGAGGGTCCTTCTTCTTTACAGTCGTCGGGGGCCCAGGTTCGGCTCCGTTCCGGCGCAAATCTTCGGCTCCATGGTGCACTGCACGTCGCCGATGCTGCGGGAGGAGGCAGGGCCTAGGGTTTTTACGGGATACGGGTTTAGGGGTTCAGGGGTTTAGGGTTAGGGTTTCCCGGCCGACTCCCCAAGCCCGGATGCAACAAACGGTTGGGGTTTAGGGATATTTATGGGTTCAGCGCTTAGAGGTTTAGGGTTCGGGGCCCTAAACCCTATTCTCCCTTTAAGGGGTTCTTTGAAGGTTCCACAAAAGTTTGGGATTTAGGGGTCCTTGCAAGCAAGTCTGCAGCAAAAGGGTTTGGGGCCCTTCAAAACCCTAAACTCTTCTCTACGGTTAGGGGATGGTTTCGGGTGTATTAGACCTGTAGCCCAGAAAACCTGCCCATTTAAGGAACTATACCAAGTATACCTAAATGGTACGTTTTATTGTATATAAGTAGGGTTTAGGCTCAAGCCCGAAACTGACAAAATCTAAGCATTTGTTGAGAGGCAGCTGCTAGACCTTCTCACGAATGTGGTTCTGGTTTTGGTTGATGAAAAAGTCTGGTCGACTCCCTTGAACATTTTCGGCCTTGTAAAGAACATACACAGGCTTCGTCGTAGTGCAAGTGCCCGCTCAACCTTTTGGAGGTACATCGATTGTACGGTGCAAGATTTGTCCTTTGCGGGTTTTCGGAAGTGCAAGGTTCAGAAACACGACACCTCCTTTTCGCACGGCGACAGAGGCCTACATAAGATCTCAAGAATTTACCGATCAGCCCAAGATGAAGGCTTTGCCTTGCAGAACCTACGCTGGCAGTTGTCCAGAGAACCGCCAAGCAATGTGCGGAAGAAACTCATGTTTTTTGTCTTTGGGTTGTAGGGTTTAGGGCTTCGGGGTTTGGGGGTTCAGGATTTTAGGTCTTCGTGCATTCGGGTACAGAGCTTAGTGGGACGGCAGGCACGGGTCTCACTTCGCTTGCGGCTCACTCTCCGGACGGCTGCAACGGACAGTGTGCAACGGATGCTTGGTGCAGGTTGTAGAAACGCTGTCTCTGAAAAGCCTGACAGCATGGTTTACCTGCTGCGTCAGAAAATCGTGTTCATTGATTGTTACGGCCTTCTAACACCCTCAAGGGCCATCGACCATCCTACCATAGAAGCCCTGAACCCCAAAACCTGCCATAGAAGCCTGCACAAGTGTCAATGTCATTCCTTGGGGCTCTTCGCGCCTCAAACCCTATTCCAAGTTGCTAGGCCGCTGCACTAAAGTTGGAAACCGGGTTAAGGCCAAATAGTGCTGGGATTCCCTATATGTTACTCTTAAGGATTGAGGCTGTTGGGTTTCCAACTTTCGGGCTTCTACTGTACCTTAAATTCCGAGTCCGAAGCTCTTTATCGAAGAAACGGTTATCTTTCATAGGACCTGAACCCCAAGTAACCTACCCTTTTAAGGATTTATATAAAGAAATCATAGTAGGGAGCCCTAAAAAGGCAGGTTCCGTATGGTCCAGCGAGACCAAGGCTCGTCGTGACTGTGCAAGAGGACTTCCGGTTCCTCCGCTCTCCGAAAGAGCCCGCACCTTGATCGAACTTTGGATCTGTTTCTTTCGGCTTAGAGGTTTAGGGTTTTAGGGGTGATTTGTTTTTGTTCGGCTAGATTTTGGGGCTTCACTTGGGGATTTCACCTGATTGCACCTGATTGGTTGCCTCTTGACGTGTGAGTCAGCGCCTTCCAAATGACAGTAGCACATCTTCAGTAATATGACTTTTGTGGAGCTCGGCTTGCTTTGCCGAAACGAAAAACCCTTCAACTTTTAAGGCACGTACTGTAGGGGCCTTAATAATTACCTATACCATTTTTGGGGGTTCCTCATATTTTGGGGGGTTGCTTATTATGATTACAGCATAATGGGCCCCAAAAACCCAATTCTAATTATTGAGGCCCCTGTACTAGTATCCTGCGCGCCCCATCCTTCAGGACTCCATGACACCTTGGGTACGGCCCCACTCAGTAATAGTTGAATAATATTCATAATATAGATATAGTAGGACCTTAATCCTTAGCCCTATTATAGACTCTTACTGTAGGGGGGCCGTACCTAAATGACACCCCGCAAGCGTGCCGAGCGAGGTGGTCGAAGCACTGATGCCTCACACAGCAGTGGTGGGTGAGAAGGTCTTCTTGGAAGCCTGGCTGAAACACCCTAAACCCTAAGGCCCTAAGGCCCTAAACCCTAAACCCGTCTCTGGAGTACCTGAGACCAAATCGACGTCTTGATTGCCTTCGGTATTCAACCCGAATACCAGGCCCAAAGCCTCGAGCCGTAGGACAGCCTCATTTGGGAGACCACTCCAGATTCTGGTCAGGTGGCAACCCGTCGGATCCCAGGTACATCGCTGCATGCATATTGTCAACATCCGCCTCAACTCTTCCGAAACGGGCCAGGGTCTGAAATTGGTACCACAACAGACCTCGAACAAAGGTCGAACGCCATGGTTGCCTGTAGGTCTCGCTGCAAGCTCAGGGCGCCTTAAAGATCAGGTACCGAAACGAGGTTCCCATCTCGAAGCAGGGTAGGCGCTCCAGTTGTGCTGCGTTCCTGAAGCAAGCGAGGTCTAGGTGCAAAAGTCTTGACGATTCAGGTTTCTTGTTAAGGGGTTCAGTTTCAGGTACCATATACGAAAACCATACTATTTACTGATCCCTGATATGGTAACTTAAATTAAATCCCTTAACAAGAACCCAGGATTGGGTGTACAGTAGACCCCATAAAGTTGGAAGCCGGATTAAGGCCAAATAGTTCTGGGATTCCCTATACATTACTCTTAAGGATTGAGGCTATTAGGTTTCCAACTTTTGGGCTTCTATTCCCTAAACTCTATGTAAACCCTAAGCCCTCAAGATCCTGAAGCCCTCAGCCCTGGTAATCCTTCTCTGGCTTGCCGAGAGTGAACTAAGGAATGGCTTAGTCACGCCCCACTCTTCGAGGTGGGTCACGGTGCATTCATGCCAAAGTCATGCCAAGCATGCAGGCAAACCCCGGTGGGTCAGAACTTCGTCAGCCTCCTAAATCATATCTGACTGAATGCTGCACAGGTCCTGGCACGCGTGCCATATCGATGCTCCTGGCGCCAATCCGAGCTGGGCGATATGTCCACAGCAGCGGCCTCATCCATTCCGAGTTTAGGGTTCAAGGCTGGAGGTGTAGGGTTGATCAACTCCCCACTCCTGGTCAGGCCCCATGTTCCCGTGGCTGAGCCGCAGATGTTCACAAAAGCCCTGGATGCTGCAAGATCCTTTTCTCCCGGTCTGCAACGGTTATATAAGTTAGATAGCATGTATACAGTAGATACTTGCCTCTTGATACGACCCCTTATATAGACTGCTACAGCGTGGGAGGCAGTACCCAAGCCATATTGGAGACGAGTTGTAAAGCGCTTGAGAACCCCACCTTTCAACATCTACTTTAGGATTCCGCATGTCTTAAGCTCCAATACGTTGCGGGGAAACACTAGTGTGCTTCGGGCTCAAAACCTTGGGGACGGATGCTCAACCTGAACCCATCTCAGCACAACCCATATGCCACGGCATGAATCCCGTACCAAATAGCTTAAGACAGTAGGAGCAACAACGGTGTCAGCGACTGTAGTATGTACAAACAAGCGAGAAGTCTGCCGGCAGGGCCCGGTGACAGTTGCTGAGTGTACAACTGCATGAGCACCCTCGCAGTGATCTGAGAAAGCTACATGCTAGCCTAGCTTAACCCTGAACCCACAACTCATAAGCCCTTCAAGCAATGTCGCCCAGGTTGCCCTAGCCCTCTCGGCGCACACTGTAAGATGCGTGGTGCCCGTCGTCACCCGGCGGTTATATGCTTGAATCCATTTCAGCCCTCAGCCTAATCCCGAAAGCCTAAATCCAAATGGAACTACCTTTGCTTAGAAAAGACCTGTAAACATAAACCCTAGAAGCCCTAAAAGCAAGCCGGCAGGAATCAGGTTCAGGACCAACTCGGGTTTCAATCATTGAGCCTGAGCGTGCCTATAGCCTTGCTGTCGATGACTCTTGACCCTTCAAGTATCCTAAAGCCAATGAAACTCCATCAAGCCCCATTGGACAACTCTATACGCTGCAGAAGCCATTCATAGCCAAACCAACAACCCCCGTCCTGGATCCTGAGCAGAAACCCTCCAAGCAAAACCGTTCTGCACAAGGCCCTGTACGAAGCCCTATAACCGAAACCTGCCAGAATCCTTCTGAAACCTTTTCCAGGCCCTTAAACCCCTAAACCCTTTTCTGTCCACCGGAACCGAGACCTCCAATGTCCCCTCATGAAAGAATATATACATATATACATATATATATATATATATATATGATGCAGGGCTGCCACACCCCCCTCCCCCCCACCCCATGGTATCCTCTCCCCTTTCCCCCCGACCCCCGCCCCCCTGTGGTGTGGGGCCTGTGGTGGTACTCTTTTTGCCACGCCGTTCTTATGTGTTACTCCTTGTCTTACTGCTCATGATGTTGTGCTGCTCTAGACCGGGACTTGAGTCGACGATCAGACCACGCTCAACATCATCCTTGTCGTCGTCATCTTCGTCATCAATACCATCAAAAACATCTGCCACCATCACCATCGCCATACAACCCTCATAACTCAGCAGTGCAATTCATGTCAGATGCTGGAAACTAGCTGCACCGATTGCCGCTTTCCGCACACGGCAGGGTGTAGTACGACACCCACGATCCGTGCACCAGGTGAAGGGCGGGCCGGGGGCGGGCAGGGCAGCACAGCAGCGTGGGGGGTGATATATATCTATATCTATATATATATATATATATATACTAAAAACTACTAGGGCTCCTTAATTTAGGGACCCAAAAAGCACATAAGCAAAAATTAGGATAGGGATATCCCATATAAACCCCCTTATAATGAAGCCCATTAAGGTAGGGATATCCCTATAAAATGCTTATGCTTATGTGCTTTTTTGGGTCCCTATTAATATGATTTAAGCAATATTCCTTAATTAAGGGATATTGGATCGAGTTTCTGGGAACCCTTGAACAACCAGACCCCGAAACCCTAGCCCCTGAACCCTAAACCCCAAACCCTGCTCAGACCCTTAGTTGTTCACCAAAGCCGAGGGCTCCAATATCCCCTACTTAACTAATATTAAACTATAGTAGGGTTCCCTTATATATATATATATATATATATATGTATATTAGGGAACCCTACTATAGTTTAATATTAGTTAAGTATATGATTTGAGGAATATACTCCTTAATTAAAGGGTTTTCGAGTCTCCACCGAAACCCAGGGATCCACGCCCCACGCCACTTGGGTGCGTCTCGAGGGTCCCACGGGCCAGGCTCGCCCCGGTGGGCGGAAGCGATGGCTTAGGGCTTTGTGGCGTAGGGTTTAGGGTTTAGGGTTTCTTTGTTCAGGGTTTACGGGTTAAGGGTTTAGGGCTTTAGTGTTTTTTGTTTAGGGTTTACGGGTTTAGGGTTTAGGGATTTAAGGTTTAGGGGCTTGGGGCTTTGTGGCGTAGGGTTTCGGGGGTCTGCGATTAGGAGTGAACGGGGTTTAGGGGTAAGGGCTTGGGGTTCAGAAAGTTTATTATGCTCGAACATAGGGGGTCTCAATATTTATTACAAACCGTCCCTCAGAATCCCTGTCATAAAAGGAATCCCTGTTCTATGTGCGGTCTAGCATTTTGAGAACCCTATTCTACTTATGAAGGCCCTACAAAATCTATACCACAGCTTAATACTGAGCGGCAGAACCGGCAGCCTTCCATAAACGCTTTTAATGGAGTTTAGGGTTTGGTTGGGATTTCATCAAGAATAGTGGAGCGAGTGAACTGTTGAGGGTTTGGACTAGGATCGTCCGCCAGTGTTTCAGAGATCTCCGTCTGAAGCCCTAAATCCTTAATCCAAAAGCGCAAACTGCAGCAGGTGGTGGTGGACGGGCCTTTGTTTCGCATCTCGACTCCCTTAGACCAGACTGCCGGAAGCTAGCACGCTCGGACTGGGGGTCTGGCTGAGATCTTTTGGCTTAATACAGGGGCCTTTATAATTACCAATAGTATTTTGGGGGTTCCTGATTATAAATATAGTGAAATGGGCCCGAGCCCAATTCTGATTATTAAGGCCCCTATATCATAGCTCCGCAGCTTAGCATGTTTAGGGTTTGGGCTTAAAGGGGAGTTAGGCTTAGCAGTGGTCAGCCTCCAAGCACCGTAAACACTAAAACCCTAAGCCCTGAACTGGCAATTCCATACATTAAGCTGGGCGCACGGCTTAACACATAGGCCTTCAAGATGCCCGTGCAATTGCAACCTCTCCTGTATATATATATATATATATATATATATATATATATGTATATATATATATATATATATATATATACACATGCACAAGCACACATGCATGCGTACATGTCATCCATGCACAGAGTGACTATATGGGGAGACTTTCACGAGTTCTTCAGATGTCTGTTTTGCCATGATCGAAGGGTTGGGGTTTGAAGAGTTGCGAAGGATAAGATATGTCACAGATGCAAGGGAGAAGACATGCTGTGGTCCTTCGTGATCAAATTCCACGGAGTTCCCGGTTTAACCTGAAGGGCTGATAGGGTCGCTAATGGCGGCCAAACCTGAATCCAGTGCTAAGGATACATCGTGCCCATGGTTTCCCCGTGGTGGCTGGAGGACTGACTTCGCACATGACTGCAGGCTCAAATCCACCCTGACTCTCAAGCTGTATGGGAACTCCAGAAACTGTTCTGGGCGTCGAGTGCAGGGTTTAGGGAATCTCCCCATCTTGTGCCCTGATTCGTCTACGCCTAAACCCTAAACCTCCTAATCCCACTGGCTAGTCTCTGCAATCCGAAGCCTAAACGCCAGGACACCGCGACCACGCCGAGTGCATCATCCATGACATCAGCAGTACCTATCTCACAGTCCCCTGGAAGAAACCTTAGGGCGTCCTAGCTGGCTTCAGGGTGCTGTAGAACTGTCCTATGAGGTTTGTCAGGGGTGTATATAGGTTTTTGGGCTTTAGGCTCAGGGCATAGGGCTTGGGGGGAAATTCTGAGGTTGAGGGATGTGGGCCTTGGGCTTCAGGGCACGGGACACTGCAGCTCAACCCCAGATGCAATTCACTCACTTCTTTTGCAAAGTTCATGCTGCATTGCCCAATACCACCGGAAAAGACGAGAAGGACAATCCAGTGATCACATGACTCTACTTCATCCAAGTCGGAGCCACCGAGTGATTTTTAGAAAGACATTTCGCAAAGCCTGTGATTCGCGACAACCTGCACCACGAACCTCGAGCCACTTCGCAGACCATGAGACTTACACATGACGTACGTTAGGAGAAGAGGGTTTCCTTCCTGGGCTTCTGTGCTTACATAACTTAGTAATAGTATTGCGTGTAGCCCCTATAACTACCTTAGATCAGAACCCTAGTCTACTCAAGGCACTCTAGCAATCGCTACAAAACCCCCTATGCAATCCAACTAAGAAGCAGTAAACAACATCCCATAAGTCCCTGTTCGAACGATTGAGGCCCCTGTGCTACTGTATTGCATGTGAAACTTAGTAGCTGAGTGGATACATTTTACACTTTTTGGAATAGTATTTCCCACTAAAACTAAAAGTGTGCACTTTTTGGTGCATTATGAGCTCAGCAACTAAGCAAAGCCAAAAAGCCTGCAAGTGGTCTTCGAGGCTACGACAGATCCCCAACACCCCAAAGCCCCCAAGCCAAACAGGTTCCTGTGAAGCCCCCGAATTTTAAAACGTGAGGTGCCCGAGGTTTGTGACGGAATTTGCTGCTTACGAATCTAAAACCCTGTGCTGCTACTTTTTATGTGTATGCACATAAAATGTAGCAGCACAAGGTGACGAGATTCTTACAAATTGGTTGCCGAACCCGTCGAAATGTCTTGCACTTATGAGCCCCATCTAACTTAAGCACATCTTTGTACTTGGCAGACCGTCTTCGGCTTCTCACATCCGAACCCGTGTAAGCTATTCCTGTACGCCTTGTTAAGCCTCTTACAAACCCTTCTAAGCTCATTTGCAACACCCGGTTGAACCCCCCAAACGCTTGCAAAACCCGAAACCCCGAACTCTGCTTGAGCCTCTTGGTTAAGTAGCTGAGTCGGTAACCTTTAACCTTTGGGAGGTTTATATAACCCTACCATAATTGAAAAGGTTAACCTTTTGAGGGCCCGGTTGTAGCACTTACTTCTCCCATAAGGGCTCCTGCAGGGATCTATAGGAGCCCTTTAAACGTTCTTTTCAGGGATCGGAGTCCTTTAGGGGTTCTTTTAAGGGTTCCTTTAAGGGATCTATAGGAGTCCTTTCAAGGGTTCCGTTAAGGGATCTATAGGAGTCCTTTCAAGGGTTCCTTTAAGGGATCTATAAGAGTCCTCTTCTTCCAGGCCGACTCCGGCCGGCCCTGCTCCGCCAGGGGAGTTCCGCGACAGCAGTTTTTGTGGAAGGGCAACGTACGCATTATCCAGGTGGATAGATTCGATAGATTCTCTCAGCAAATACGAGAATGAAAGTTTTGGTTAAGTTCAAAAGTAAAGCACAGGAGCAAACAGCATAGTACGTATTGAAGGCAGTGTATATCGTGTACAAAACAGTATGTTTATAAATTACATGTATCACCACATGGATATGGGGAAACAGCTATCTTAAACAAACACCCTAAAACCTTTAATAAATTAGCCCTAAACCCTGCAACATACTAAAGCCTTTGCTTGCCCGTTTTTTTCTTGGACTTGGGCCTCTGAACCGAGGCTTCGGATACCACTAATGTATAGAGCCGCGGGTCCTGTAGTTCAAGCAACAAGACAACAGTTCCGTGAGGGTTCATTCATTTTCGTGCTTGCCATTATGTTGGTTTAGCTTGGGCAAACATGGTAGTGATACTCATTCACCAACATATTAATCGTGGCTCACCGGTCGGTGTCGAAAGCTTAAGAGCGTATTGCTTCGGAAGCATGGATCGTGGTGTGGGCTTCTGACGCTTTTTGTTTGGTGTAGGCTTCTGCTGAAGTAGGTTCGACTCTATGGGTGCAGGACCCTGGGAGATTGTAGCTTGGGTTTCAGGGCTTACTATTGATACGGTTTAGGGTGAAGGGGTCAGTCGGCTCCATCTTGGGATCAGCTCCGAGAAACACCGTTCGCGGCTACATGGTTGAGTAGTTTTGCGTTGGAAAGTTCCGGCTCTATGGGTTCGGGCTCAGGGATTCGATTGTAGTATCCTTAAGGGAGGGGGGTCCAAGAGGGGTATATAGCCTAGTGATCCCTAATTCTCCCTAGTACTCCCTAAGGTTCCCTTAGAGTCCCCTGAGGATTCCCTATACCCTCCCCCCTTGAACCACCCCCCCTTAAGGACCCTATAGTTCGAGGGTTCTGCATGCTCCTTTGCCCGAAGCTTCAAAAGCAAAGATCTGGCCCAAGGCCTCCAATGGATCCGGAAAGGCGCGTGAAGCGCGCAGAGACGAGTACTAATGACTAATATAGGGGCCTTTATAATTAGAATAGGGCTTCGGGATGTACTCTACTATAATCATAATAAGCAACCCCCCATAAAAGCATTGGTAATTGTTGAGGTCCCAATAGTAGCATCCTTTCCAGCTCGGGTGCTCAGCCATACCGACAAGTGTCCAATACCTAGTGGACTTAGTTTGCTTCATGGATTGCCCGATGTACGAACTTACAATTACTACTATCCTAAACGCAAGTACCTGAATGCTGCCCCCAAAGAGGCCCCTTTAGTGCCTGAACATGTGGACCATTGAGCACGAGAAACGGCCCAAAAAAAGCTAGACAGTAATCGCGAGCACCAAGTTATAGAACATGTTGGAAATCCACTTATCGGGGGTACATTTTAGGTTTCCTTTTTGTGAGGCAGCGGCTGCGGCACTATTTTTCGGACCCAAGCAAGGACCTTAAGTGAGAGAACTGGCCAAACATTGTGCAATCGGGGCTTATACAGTGGCAGTTCGTGATGCGTTGTATTAGTCCAAGTATACTGTTTTTGTTGATATGTGTTGGTTTGTTTATGTACTTGGGCTGTCGGCTTTGGCTGTGAGGTTGAACCTAGAGGTCCGGGTGTGACCGAAGTTCCATACCTGCTGTGGGAGCAGGGAGGAAGTTGGTTGAAGTGTTGGGCTTTGCTCGTTATGCTTCATAGGTCCTAGGGCTTCAGTGTCTCATGGGGTTGAGGCAACTTAGCACTTTGCACCCAACACCTCTGGAGGCATGGATACAGAATGGGTTTGCTTTAGGGCACGGCAGTCTTTGCAGAAGAGGCTCGCAGAACAAGCTCTCGTTGTGGACGCCGTGCCGCTCTCTGTGGTCCCGCCAACCACACTGACGATCGTTTCTTGGACTCCTGGGTCGGCTTTGGTTGAATGAAACCCCGAGATGACCCAAAGAGACTAGGACCTAGAGTAGGCCCTTATTCCCTTTTTTTAGGGCTCAGGTTCCCTTACAAGCCCCTTTTTAAACCAAAAGGGCACCCTTTTTATTCCTAGGCTACTCTTAGGTCGAGTCTAGGAGACGTATCCCAGCAACTTGTTCTGGGTGGATCCTACGGGTCCCAGAGAATGGGTTGTGTGTGTGTGTGTGTATGTCGTACATACATCCATACAAATGATGCATACATACAGAACCCGCGCACACACACTGATATATATATATATATATGCATATTTATACATGTGCACTCGGTTTACCGGCTTTTCGTTAAGAAACATCCCCCGAGGGTCTTGCAATCGAGAGCTCAGGGAGCCGTCATAGGGTTTCTGGTCCTCCATGTTCGGGAGTCTTCCTTAAGTGCTTCTGAACCATAATTACCTATACTACCTTGAGGGTTTCTGAGTACAATTATAGTAGATTGGGCCCCCAAAACCCTATTCCAATCATGAAGGCGCCTTTGTTGCTCCTGAACCGTCTCAAGCTCTATCAGCAGGGCCGTCGGTGGCCCTACAGTGATGATAACGATATACTTACGAACTTCCCCCCGACCTCTCTGCCCTGCTGCCACCTTCCGTTCCCATGTTACTTGTGATGTCAGGACTGGTGAAAAAGGAAGTCATCACACTCTGTCTTGCTATGTGCTTTGCATTCCTTGCCAGAATCCCTAAGCCCCAAAATCCCGATGCCCACACCCCGAAGCTCGAAGTTTCGAAGCCTTGATTCCCAGAACCCAACAACTGCTCGAGACTGTAAGCGTCGACAATCGTTTCTGCAACCTTGTCATCGTGGTGGCGCTACACCTGAATCTCTGAAGCCCAAATCAACTCAACCCAAATTTTAAACCCCTGAACCCTCAACGGGAGCAGCCCCTCCGCGAAAAAATTCTCAAGACACCTCCATCCGCCTGAATCCTAGACGCCAAACCATAAAGACAAGGAAAAAAAAAACCTAAGCCCCGTACGCTCGAACCCGGGAGTTCAAGCTTAGAAATGCTTGCGGTACCCTTAAAAGGAAACCATTATACCTAAAACCATGTAATGGGACCCGAGTCCCTATTCTATTTTATCAGGGCCCCTATATAGATCCCTTAGAGAATGAAGTTTTGCATACTGAGGTGGTCAAGTCGTTGTCTCCCTCCCGAGGGGCCGTGACGGGCGGCACCACGGTGCGTGTGACGGTCAGGATTCCAGCTCTTCGGCTGTATGGCTTCTTTCGATTCCAGAGAGAGAGAGGGAGAGAGAGAGAGAGAGAGAGAGAGAAGAATACTAGCAACAGCAATCGTTAAGATAATCGGGTGAAGATGATGCTGATCATGATGGTGATGATGAAGATGAAGAAGATCAAGATTGCGGCCGCGATGATGTTCATGGAGGTGATGATTAGCTGCAACCCGTCATTGCTTGCTGCATTGGTTGTGTGATTCGCGGTCATGACCTACGAACAGTGGGCTTCCTGCTGTTGTTTGGGAGCTACATGTGGGTCAAACCTCAATCCACAGCTTCACCCTGAATCATATCCCCAAGTCTTCGAACCAAAGCTTTGTTAAACAAGCTCAAACAAAAACGAACTCAAGGAAGACACCGACGAGCCCTACGCATTGTGGTGCGTTTTCGGAGACCACCCGCCGACGCAAGCGTGACCCAGCTGAAAACTACGAGGAGGAACCCGTAAGTATGACACAGACCATTTGGGACGGATAGGCCCACACGACTAGCGACTAGCATTTATTAATCTTAAATATCCAATCTCGCGGGTCGAAGCAAGTCGGTGCTTGTGCAAACCTCAATCTCTGCACCTAGTTGATAAGCACCTTCAAGCTTGTTTTCCGATGTATGTATATACATGCTCACACAGGTTGTTAGAAACAAAGGTTGCTAGAAAGGTAGGTAGATAGAAGGACAGACAGACATATAGATGGATAGAAATCTCTCTCTCCTCCCTCCCTCCCTCCCTCTCTTTGCCTCCCTCTCCGTCGGTCTCTCTCTCTCTCTCTCTCTCTCTCCCTCCCTCCCCTTCAACCAAGCGACAGGCAGAGTTCGGTTGAGGTACGTACTTGTGTGATGTTCTCTCAGGGGTACTTATTTTTTGGTTATTATAACCCTTAAGAAACAGCTAAAATTGTAATTTTCGCTAGGGCTCTAAGTTCAGTATAGAAATCCTGAAACCCCAGTGTTTAAAAGTCCTTAAAGTTCCCTTATAGAGCCCTAAACCCTGAAACCTTAAAATAGTTCTGGATGCCAGCCAAGCCCAGGATTCGCGCGGATGGGGACGGGCAGACATGGAATCGCAAATTGGAGGTCCCTTGCTGACTCTTGGGTTTGGCTTCGGGTTGTTGAGTTTTTGTGTTGAATGGGGCGGAGGTATGGTTTCTAGGAGGTTTTTCGGTGTTCTAGGACCTAGAGTAGCCCTTATTCCCTTTTTTTAGGGCTCAGGTTCCCTTACAAGCCCCCTTTTAAAGCAAAAAGGGCACCCTTTTTATTCCTAGGTTACTCTTGGGTCTAGTGTTCAGAGTTTAGGGCTCGGGCTTTGGGCATGTTTGGGCGCGCTGGGACCTGGGATGCAGGCCAAGTGCTCCTAAGCTTCTCCACGCCGCTATGTGGGAGTTTCCGAAATAGGGGGGTACCTATTTTGGGGTTCCTTATGATAGGGATCCTACTATTTGGGGTACTATATTAGGGTCCCCTATTTTCGGAAACTCCCATGTCAAGCTTCCTCGTTCAGAGTCTCCTCAAAGACAAGACCCGCTGAAGTCTCTTAGTTCATCGAGCCTCACCCCTGGTGAAGCCTTGCTGAGGGATATTTCGCCCCTAGGCAGGGTAGGTTGCGGCGGTTCCTGGTACAGTGTAGGCCTTATGTCGGGTTAGAAGGGTGTAGGCACCAGGGCTTTCTGATCTTGTAACGGTTAATACTGCTGATGGAGAAAATCCTGCATGACCCTAAGGACTCTAACTTATGGGAACTATGGTATATAGTAGAAGCCCAAAAGTTGGAAGCCCAGTAGCCTCCATCCCTAAGAATCATGTATAGGGAATCCCAGCACTATTTGGCCTTAATCCGATTTCCAACTTTTTGGGGTTTACTGTATTCCTATAAGGCAAAAGCCAGAAAGTTGGAATATGATTATCCTAAACCCTTTATGGTACATTACAAGGTATCCTACCCTGAAACCATATTCCAACTTTCTGGAGTTCCCTTTAATGGGTACTGCAGGATTTTGTCCATCAACAATAGGTTTGGTTTATGGCCACCTCTGGGTTTTGGCATGTCAGGTGACCCCGCAATCCTCCAAAGGCTTAGATAGCCAATGGGGGAACTTTAAACTTTTCGGCCTTATGTATTTGGTCTATCTCAGAAAGTTTAAGCTTTTCTGGGCCCGGTTATTGAAGGAGAGAGAAGATGTGTGTCAAGAATTGGGGGCAAAGAGTTTGGTCTTTGTATGTGCAGTTTCAAGAACTGAAGAAAGTTTACAGTACCTATAATATCCACTGAAGTTCTTCTCTTTGGTTTCACAATATGATAAAGTAACCCCAGAAATCCACTACAACTGAGACTACAGGGGGGGTTCCAGGTGCAAGGGTTCGACTCGAGTCATCAGAGCGGCGATTCGGGTGCCGGCAATTGCTCCATAGCGCTTGACATTCTGCAAACCCGGCCTGCCAGTGCTGCCCCACTCGAAACCGCCTGCGGTGCGGCAATATGATCAGCATAAGCTTGTGAGAGGTTGTAATCGTGTTGTAACAAGGATACGGAGCTCTAGGCACACGAATCGCAACGGTGTTCACTGCTAAGCTAAGCTGTGTGCCCCTGACAGGGTGATCGCCTGGGCTTGAACCCTCCACCATGGATGGATTTGCCAGCTGGCTACGGTCGTGTTTGACGGTTCCAGCTTTCCGGTTCAGGATGTTGGGGACTCATTCTCAGATCGCTGTTATATATGTATATATATATATATAGATAGGCAGCCTGGAATCGGTTTCAGTCTTTGTTGATAGACTGTCTCCAGCGCAGGGACGTTGGAAAAAGGGCAGCAGAAGGTGGCCCTAAACCCTAAACCCTCGACTGCGGTTTTCAGTTAAATCTGCACTGAATCCGCTTGACACTGCCACCACAACCCGAAAACCCGCAGCCTAACATCAATGTTGCAGACATTGTCGTTCACTATACGACTATGCCGAAATCAAAGCAGGTCACCCCTAAAGCCCTTAAGCCCCAAATGAACCCCCATTCCGCAAGCATCGAATCGTAAGCCAGCCCCGAAACCCCTAAGCCGGAGGCCCTTGAAAGCGAGAGGATCCTTGCGACAAATCCATTCGACACCTGTCGTTCGCCTGAGCTCTAGACCCTATAGAAACTATAGGCTTTAAACAACGAAACCCACCTGAAGCCCAAAAATCCCTCAACCCTAAACTCTGAGACCTAAAGCACTTGCTGCTCCGAGGCTTTGCAGGACGCCCGAGCACCCCATCGCCGAGCAAGTGCCGGATGTTGTGAAGTTTCAGAGGGTGAAGGGGGTTTAGGGCTTAGGCTGGAGGGTGTTTAGTCTAGGCCCTAGGCTTTTGGGTGCTTTAGGGCTGCAGTTGTAATACAAGGTGTGTATCCGTCTTTAGCCGGTTTTGTTCTAACAGTTTTACCGGCTGCACAGGGTTTCGATCGAGTTTCGGATTCAGGGGTTTCGGGAGAGTTGGGTGTTGTCTCGGGTTTTCGCTTTTGGCCAAAAATCGGGGCTGAGGAGATATCAGCCTTCAGTGAATGGTCGACTTCAAAAGTCTGGGATGGTTTCGCTCTATCCATAGGCCCCAAAGTAGTTCTTTTTTGGGATAACCTTGTAGGATTTTATATACGAACCCCAAAAAGGAACTTCTTTGGGGCCTTTGGGTAAAGCCCTGAAAGAATCAGGACCCCCACTGATGCTAATCATCAAAGACTCTCATCTCAAAGCCTGAACCAAAGCTTGCTGTAGCTGCGCCCTTGAAGAAGCATTTCTTCAAGGGACCCCACAATTGGGTCTTTCTTTACTCGGGTATCGGATAGCAGTTAGGTGCAGCGCCTTTTTCCTGCAAGGACCTCATAGCCGGTATGCACAAATGATATCAAATGATAGTAGTTATGTTGTGATAGTTAGTGTTCTTGAGGCTTTGGGATGACTATTATAGGCAGTTGCACCCTAAGCCTTCTCGGAGTACACACGCTGCGGGCCCGAAGCCGACCACGTTTCAGGCCATGTTTACGCGAAGCTTCCAATCCCACAAGCCACAATAACCCAGAAACACCGGGTGTTATGAAGGTGATCTCACTCTTACTCAGGTTTAAAACCCTCTACGACGACGTTGTACCCCAGACCCGAGCCATAATGAACTTGAACACAGAGCCAAATTCCTAGTCCTTGGTTGCACATGCCCTTGAATCATACAGACCCTCCAACCCGCAGCCCTGTATCCTTGTAATAGGCCTTGAACCCACACCTTAAAGAGCAATCACTGCCTGGACTCAAAAGTCCGTAGCCTAGTACAGGTTCTGGGCCATTATGTTGCCTACTTTGGGGGGGTCCCTAAACCCTAAACCGTCACGCACCTTAAAGACCGATCACCGGAAAAAAGCCAAGCTTCCGGATTGGTTGCGAGGTGCCCTTCTACGTCACTCGCTCCAATGAGTTTCGACCAGGCTGGAAACCCAAAGCCCCGAAAAGCCCAAATTGGGAAGATGAGGGACTCAGAGTACTCAGGACCCTAAACCCTAAGCCCTCGATTTGTTTTGCAAGTTTGGGGCCTTGGCCTTCCTGACAGTATTCGGGCCTCGAAACTTTGACATGTATGTTGAGCTTGGCAACAGGTATCACGGGATGTTGCATGTTGAGGTTTGAGCTTTGTTCTCCTGTGCTTCTGCAGTTTCGAATCTTGCTGTCAAATTAGCTGGTAGTGTGGAGGGCTCCTTGTGGTTCATGCAATGAAAGCTTTGCTATTGAGGAATCTTTTAGAGAAGTAGACAGCAATGGGGCCACGGCTGTTGCTTTGCCACCAAGACGAAATGCCAAGAAGAGGTTTCAACATGAAGCCCCACACCGCTCGCACCTACAGGAGCCGAAGCTTTACCCCGTGGGCCCTATACCTTAGACTTTTCACCTTTAGCCTACTCTACGCAGGCCTAAGCTGGAACTCCACTTTTTTACCCCGAAGCACGGAACCTCCGATCGCAAGCCTGTCGCCTCAGGATCCGACAGCCCCAAGTCCCAAACCGTTAACTCTCAATTGTTGATGTCCCAAGCTTTGCATCCTTTGCCTTCCTTATGCTGATTCCTTACCCCCAGGGTCCAAAGGACCTAATAATTAGGTACTCGGGTTTGGGATAGTAGTTACGTAGGTTAGGATTTCGGAGAGTCTATGATAGTAAGGTACTTGGACCCTTAGGGTTATGTACGTCACCCTGCCTGCGAACTCTACAGCCCTTGCCAACTTCAACTTTCAGCCCTGATCTCTGAATGAGACTCTTTGGGTACGGCCCCCAGTCAGTAATAGTTTGAATAATATTCATAATATAGATATATTAGGACCTTAATTGTAGCCCTATGATAGACTCTTACTGTATGGGGGCAGTACCTGAGATACTCTGCAGGCTCTGCGCCAGATGGCTCTCGGATGTTCTCCTACACTCCATACCCTGCCCCCTGACCTCCGAAGGGTTCAGGATCTAGGGGGCTTTGGGTTTGTAAGGATAGGGGTTTTGGGTGTATCTAAGGCCCAGGGTTCAGGCTTTAGGGCGTTGGGTTTTTGCAATTTGGCGTAGCCGTGTGGCACGAGTCCACAGCACAGTCAGCGCCTCGGTTCCCGGCGTATGCATTGTCCAGGTGTAAAAAAGGTTTTCATCGAGCGCGGCCTTTCACTTCGCTGTGCCAAGCAGGAGTTTTCATTCCAGCTAGGGTTGGCCCCAAGACGAGGCATGAGGTTCAACCACGGGTTATATGCTCAATATCGAGGTCTGCGAACAGTCCCTACAATGTCACCTTCTAGTTCCAGTAAATTCAGCATGTTCTTCGTAAGTATACCGTCTCTCAAAGTCCGGTTCATATCATTGGATAAACGGCCCATGGTCCCATAGGTATGTCTTAGGGTCCTGTATGGGTCCCCCAAATAAAACATCACCTATATGGAAAAGGATCCTTACAGGGACTCCTAATTTAGAGAACCACCCTATAGGATTCCGGAACTCAGACCGAACCTGAACCCTAAACCTTATTGCTCATCAGATCTGCTGGTCGAAAAAGGGGCGCTGAACAAAAACAATCAGACGCCCAGGAGATGTTCGCTCTCACACCAGCATTGGTGTCCCACTTCTCGGTGGACCGCGAGGCGACAAGGACGAATGTTAACTAGCTTAGATAGTGAACGGGGGAACTTTAAACTTTTTGGCCTTGTATATTTGCTCTATCTTAGAAAGCTTGAACTTTTTGGGGCCCGGTTGTTGAAGAAGAGAGCTAGTCTACCTGGACCCTAAGGAACCTACCTTTGTGTTTTTCCCTAATATGATTTCTTTATACAAGTCCTTAAAACGGTAGGTTACTTGGGGTTAAGGTAGTCATTGATATTGGGGGATCTAACTAGTCATTGATGTTGGGGGATCTAAGGAGTTAAGCTTGTTAGGACCTTTTGTCAGGATTTGGGACTTAAGCTCGTGAGTTCAGAGTCTCCGGAATTGTCTGTTGGGCTTCTGATGGTTTCGAAGACAGGTTAGTGTACTTGTATCCTTAGTGTCAGAGGGTATCAGAGTCCGGGCTCTATGCTGCTATGACAATCAACCGCCTGTGCTGTGCTTCTTTGTCGTGCTGCCGATTCGGGGAGCTTGGATGATAGGGGACCCTAATCTACTAACCTCAATAGTAGGATCCTATTACAAGGAGCCCCCAAAATAAGGTACCTAGAATTTTCGGAAACCCCCATTTGGGGAGCTTCTGAATGGATGCGGAAAGCTTGCCTGGGAACCTTGGAGCCCGTGGCAAGGGGGAGGTTTATCCTTATTAGGGGACGTATAACCCTACTTATAACTACCCCTATACCCTTGTAGAATCCCTATAGATCCTTTTAAAGGGGCCCTTATCACTACCCATGAACCTCCAAGTATAGGGCTTGCAGGCATGGTTTGGGATTTGGGTTTGCTGGGTTTCAGGCTGCATTATAGCGTACCTCTCCATAGCTCGCCAACCCAAACCAGGCACCTGCATTCGTCGGGTTCGCAGCATAGGGGGGATCAAGGTGACGATCCACCTGGAGGACCTGGAGAGCGGTGCTCAATCTGTGCAACCTAGCAAGAAAGATGTTGGGGATGTGTGCGTGATGGTATTTTTGGTCATTGTTGCTGAACTCCAAGAAGTGGCAAGTATCAGAAGTGTTGTCATTGGTAATTTGAGCGTTCTCCCGAAACCCTGCCATTGAAGTGCAACTTTGTATCAGGATGGGAGATGTTCAACAAGTGCCTATCGGCAAGTAGTGCCGGGCAGGTGCAACTGGTGTGCGTCCTCAATCTTATCCCCATAAGTAATAAGACTGAGTGAAGGAACCCAGTGCAGGGAGGCTGCTGTGATTTTGACAGGCTTTGGTTTTGTCGGCGCCGGATATTCCAGCATGTTCAGCTCCATATAATTGCACTACGGTCGGAGTTGTCTTCTGAAATGCACAGCGTTACTTTGGTAGATGAACAGCGGTTGAATAGCTGCAGGATGTAATGCCTCATTTCAACGTATAGATATACATTAAGGTCTCAGAGCAGGAATAATGAGTAGTACTCGAACAAGCTTACCTATTCGTCTATGCCCAAGCTTGAACCTACGTCCTGAACTTCACGGACCCAAAACCCGAAACCCCAAACCGTAAACCCTAAACCCTAAACTCCTAAACCCGAAACCTTAAACCCTAAACCGTCAAGCGGGATGGCAAAGGCTCCTGTCTACGCTGAATGACAACGTGGACTGTGCGCTGCTCGGGTTCGACACAGCCCCTTGGTTGAGAGGAAGCATCGTGGTTCTTAAAGGGAGTTGTACTTTATGCCCTAAGCCTACAGGGATCTTGTACAAACCGCGATATTAACCCAAACATCCCTGACAAATCAGTCTTGAAGCCTGAGGCGGCGTAGACTTCAAGCTTCTTAGACATCCTAAGCCCCAGAAACTCGACTGAGGGGAAAACAACCTTCACAGCCTTCTCTCAAAGTCTGACGCAGCTCGAAAACACATGCTCAGCGCCTTCAGCCCATGATAGGGTTGATGGGAGTTAAGTACCTTAGCCTACCAAACCCTACTTTTATGTAGGTTCTTATAATGAACCCTAATATGGAGTTTATAGGGACCCTACAAAAAGTAGGGTTTAGTAGGCTAAGGTAGAGTGTACATCCTGCGGAAGCCAGGCGACTACCAATGGCGACTGGGCTTGCCTGGCATTGATCCATGGCCAGCAATCCGTGCTTCCAGCTATGCATGGGCATGATGAATGAACACGTGCTGTGGCAGAGGTCGTTTTGCAACCTGGAAGCAAGCTTTGCCTTTTTCATCTCGCTCCAAGCCCGAGTGGCCAAACCCAGGGTCCTCGAACGAAGATGCTTTGCGTCAGGCATGTTTTCAAGGAGCACGGGAAGAACAAATTGGGGACGGTGAGAGATATGGGGAGAAGGTGGTCGCAAGCCAAGGCCTGCCCTATTGTCGCCACTGCTCGATATGCTTAAATGTCAGCTTACTGTAAGCCCTCATGAACCACACGCTCAGAACAGATGACACTCCCCATTCATTTAAATCTCGAAGATGCCCTCAAGCCTGAAGCATCCTGAAGCGGAGTTGGACCACAGTATATCTCGGACTTTCAGCTGAGGAATGCTTCTGATGACGTCAATGCTACCGAAATGACGGGCTGCAAGGCACATCACCTGAGCCCGTAGCCTTTTCCCGGCTTTTAAGCTTTAGATGGTTTAGGCCGTTTAGGCTGTCGGGCTGATTCGGATTCCTGCTGAAGTTGGATTGTTCGCGGCGACAAGTACATATCCCTAAGCCCCCAACTCAGTGCTTAGTTTCCCTGCAATGGCTAGTGCCTAGGAGCTGTGGCGACAAGTATATAGACCTGTGTTGCCACCTGGTGAGCGAAGCGGGCGCGGAACAAAACCTACTTCGTAGCTGCGTGTGTGGACAGTCCTGTTGAATGAACAGGAAGCGAGCATTCAACCCTGGGCCCTGCTTCGTAATTTTTCGCCCTGTTGAACTCTAAGCCCTATTCCACATGATTCATCAGCGACCATCAGGCCCGCATACCCATGACCGGCAAGCCAATACAGATACGGAGGTTCTTCCCACCTTGCTTCTCTCATTGAGCTCTCGACTTCTTGACATGAAAGCCTAAGCAACCTAAGCCAACCCTGAACCCCGTACCCTAAACGTGCCTGCGTGAGCGAGTGTGCGAGTCGAAACCCTAAACCATAACTCTGTAGTGCGTTCTTTGCAGTTTGTCCGTCCTGCACCCAACAGGAGAAGACCTTGGGCCAGTTGTTCGATGGGCTTGGTCACACGGCAGCCCGAGGGGCTAGGGTTTAGGAGACTATAGACGCCTTAGTGTTTCGAAAAAGGTTTTGTGTAGTACTCTAATTTGACTCAAGTAAGGGACCCTGTAAGGGCGAATCTTGCTAATTATTCAAACTTCCGTAATATGTAGAGGCCCAAAGAATTACGGCCGTTGTTCCTTAAGGTTCCCCAGTGTAGTTATACTGTAAAATACCCCCAAGCCCTGGTCTATTAATTGTAGGTGTCTACATTGACCGTGTTTGGCTACGGCGATTCCTGTTTTGAGGTATTTTGCCTCAGCACGGATTTGGAATTTAGAATCATGACTCTTGCTGTGCCTCTGTGGAGGTGGTGGTAGCAGAGAGTGGTGAATGGTGCTGGGTGCTGCTGCTGCTGGTGATTATACCAGTCATTTCAAAGCGGGTGACATTGCTCATTAGTCGGTTTGACGATAAAGGGATTGAATTCGAGGATCTGTTTTGTCCGACAGTAGGTAGTTCTCAACCACCGAGCATTGTCTCTGCATTGTGCGGTGTATCTTACAGGCACGTAGGGGTCGCTTGTTAAGTTGACGAGACGCCCGACCCTAATGTAGTACCCTAAATAGTAGAATCCTTACTATACGAACCCCAGAATAAGGTACCCCTAATTTTCGGAAACCTCCATGTATAGAAACCGGAAGCTAATCTCTCGGGATCCTTGTCACAAGTAAGATACCCCGCGACGCTGTTCAAGCGATTAAGGCCCTTATGTTAGACCGTGTATAACCCTTACGATTAAGTTACATCAAAGCCATGAAATGACGCTCTATGCCCGATTAATCGCTGTGAAGACCCCATCTGAAATATTCGCAAACCTCTTTGCTGATGTCACCGTCCTCAATGGACCAGCAGTCACCAACGGACCGCTCAATCACTAAGGATACTGCGTTCCGATCTGCACATACATACATGTGTATGCATATATAGAGAAAGCTGTGTATATCCATGCATAGCAGCACGCACATATGTATGCACACATGTTCCGATGATCATGTATACGTGCATATATATATATATATATATATATATATGTATACATACACACACACACACACTTACATGTACCTAAATGCCTACATACATAAAATACCATCGCACATACTTTTATACCTACATCACGAGGGCTGCTGCCCTAGGCATTACCACCAGGACGAGCTTTTCCGACATGTGGTTCAGGGTTTTGGTTTGGGTGCCGGGGCTTAGGAACATGTTGGCAGAGCGTTCACCATCTGAAGCAAGATGTTTCGTGCTGGGGACATAGTTTAGGGTTCAAGCTGGTCGTTATTGCTTGTCTGATCAGTGCTTGAGTTTAATTGGACAGTCCTGCAGACATGCGCCCTTTCACACGAACATGGCTGAGGTGGATCATCCAACAGCATTCCGATCTCCGGCTATGCCATTTCCACAGAAGGCCGTCCAAGAGTGAGAACGGACAGAAAAAGACATGCCGTCATCAATTGCAGCGCTGCACTGTAGGATAAGTTAAACACGACAAGCCCTGGGCTTAGACCGACTGGAGCAATCTGGGACTCCTGGGCAGTGGAGTGGGCCTAAAGGCTCTCACAGAAAACACTTGAGCGAATCCCAGTGACATCTGTGGTCTCCTTTGCAGTCCCTTGTTGGGGTTACCTTACATGATACTAATGTACATAACTGGTTAAGCCAAGAAAGGGAACTACAGCATAGAGACTATAGGTATGGCGGGAACTGAGAGCCGCTTCTCAGGCATTCTCTCCAAGGGATCCCAGCTGGCGGATGGAAATGGCCTGGCGGCAGCACCCTAGCTGCAGGTACTATGGGGGGTTGAAACAAGACGCATATGTCATGTAGTAATATCCCTTTTCCCTCCACAGTTATTGAGGTTTTCATCTAGACATTATTCATAGGAACCCCAGGCGGATTCAGGCGGCATCCGCATGTAGTGGGCGACATGGAAACCAGCTATGTCGCGGACTTGTTCCAAAATCCTAAACACCCCTAAAGACTTGCTGGGCCCCATGAGCAGGTAGAATAATCGCCTTTTATAGGTTTTGGATCATTGTTTTACCTACTTTGGGGGTTTGGGTAAAGCCTAAAACCCAAATTGGAAGGCCTCGGCCTTCTGGCAGGAACGATCACCGGGAGACACGCAGGGACATTGGGGTCGAAATAATATGAGATTGCCCATGTTCGGAAAATGATTGCCTATGTTCGAAAATCCCACCTTCTTCCGACTTACCCGAACTTGAAGCTGCCTTCCCAGTCTGAGGTAGGGCTTCGAGTCGTGGACCCACATCTATGGCAGAACTCGTATCGAGTCGAAACGGTTGTAGGTCGGGTTCATCAACTCCTGCAGCATACTTGTCGCCAAGGTGTCTTGCATGCTGCCCACGCAGTTTATCCCGCGACGCAGCCGCATCAGAATTTCCAACATAAGAGCCCCAAAGCCCCAAGCAATTAAAACCCCAAAAACTCTCGCCAAGGCTGGCTACTGCCGGACAGGACTTGGCGATGGATCCGATCCCCACGCGGGCAGCGGTTCGGAAGTGGCGCGGCTTACGATGTGAGCTTTCGGCTTTTGGGGGCGTTCAAAAAGGGCAGCTTTGGAGTCCAAGTCGGATCTGTCCAGGATTTTTTTCGTTTAAGATGGACTTTGTTCGGGTTTTGCAGTTTTAGAAAGGTTCTAAAGGAGGCTTCATTTTGGGGTCAGGTTTGCCTGGGTTTAGGTATTCATGTTCACGCCGGGCATGAAAGGCCGGCCCCTGATGAACAAACCCCTCGCTCCTGGTGGACAATTTCCTCTCCCCGAAAGGCAAGATCGGCTAGGATGCCCAGTAGTACCCTTATTCCCTTTTTGTAGTCCTAGGTTCCTTATAAAGTTACTCAATACCAAAAAGAGAGGCCTTTTTATTCTTAGGTTACTGGGTATCCTAGTCGGGCTCACTGTCACTAGAGACTGCACATCCCGATGCTTGAAGCCTGAAGCCGTTGCCTCTGACCCAGAGCTTCTCTCCGGTCGCGGTGCCTTAGGTTGTGGGGCTACCGACAAACTCCGCACCCAGCTGAAGCGACTTCAACATGATGTGGTATTCTGAAGATGCAATGAACCTACCTAAGCACAGCCTAGCAAACATGCCGTCGCTGCATAATTCTGCTTCAAGGAGGCCATGTACCAAGACAACCGTCTACATCCCTGAAATCCCACAAACTACGGCCCCCTCAACCTCAACAGTGAACCCTACGGCCCTGAGCTCGGCACCCGCACGCAGGACAGGCTACGAATCCACTGAATCGTATTCTCCGACCCTCGGCGCCGCCCTTGCCGTCGTGTTCTAAGGAATTGAGGTTAGGGGCATATGTTTTGCAGCTCTGTATAGTTTGCAGAGATTCGAGACGATGTGCTGGTTCATCTCTGATCCTTTCAGTTTTTGAGCCTTATCAATCTCGGAAGCCAGCCTTTGCTTGTGTTTCGTTGAGATGCAGAGTTTAGCCATGAATCAGGGCTTGAATAATCATGAAGATGCTCGGTTCTCCTTGAACCATCTTAAACCCTAAACTAAACCGACCTCGCCTGGTATTGCCGAGTGTGAGTGTCAAACCTAAACCGTGAGAGAGAGAGAGAGAGAGAGAGAGAGAGAGCTGGGCTTCCTTCTTGTTCCACCCAGAGAGCCCAATACCCCTCAATTAAGGAATATGCCTTAAACCATAACATGAAGCCCCATATAATTTAAGCCATATTCCTTAAATAAGGGGTATTGGGCTCTCTGGGCATCTGAGGGAGCCTCATCTGTTGCGTTTGCGCCAAGTTGGGTGCCCAGCGCCGAAACCTGAGAACTAAAGCCCCAAATCCCTACCCAGAGGCTCCATAGTAGTTCCTTTTGGGGATTACCTCATAAGATTCTAAATATGAACCTCAAAAAATAACTACTGTGGGGCCTTTTGGGAAACCCTAGATCCGGTACCAAAAATTCAAGGAAGTGGCTGGAGCCAGGGGAATTCCCGGTGAAGGTGGAGACTGCGCTGACTTGATGATATTTAGAGGATGAGTGCTCAAGGAGCACTGAAGTGTTAAGGCTTCAGAGGCTTTGGGGGAACTTCAGGCTGCCGGGGTTGGCGATCTCAAGGTAAAAACCGAAGCCGGAATCATTACACAATAGCTCTTTGTTCGGGTTGAATCCTGAATTCCGCCAAGATTCTCGGTCCTCCGCCTGGACATGTCTTTGGAGCTATCTAAGCCCATGAAAGGAGATGTGCCCAACAAGCAGGATAAATCAGCAATCCAGCGGCCCAACCCTTAAAAAGGTAGGTTACTTGGGGTTAAGGTTGTTCTTGACCTGAAGCCCTAGAATCCCTCAACTCTCAGCCTCAAGCCGTCCACCCTACTATCCCTGAAGCAGCCTTACAAGGAGTATCCCCTTATAGACTTACAGAGCCTGGAAGGGAATCCGTACAGGAGCCACTATCGTAATCACCGAAAGCCCAAACTTAGAAAACAAAACCTGCCATGTGGGCTCGTCCTTGCGAAGTAGGACGGCGAAAACGAGCTACAAGTAGCTCTGAACCCCAAACCCTAAACCCATAAACACCTGAACCCTAAACCCTACACCCTAAAAACCTTAAACCCCCTTAAAAAGGAGCTCAAAAAATTACCTAACCCCTCAACCTCTGAGCCCAAAAACTCCTAAAACCTAAAACCTAAACCTACCCAGAGGCCCCATAGGAGTTCCTTTTTGGGACTACCTTGTAGGATCCTATATACGAACCCCCTAAAAGGAACTACTTTGGGGCCTTTGGGTAAGCCGAAGGGTCCCAAGGAAATGGACCCAACAGAGCCGGCGATCGGATCGCCCGTTGAGTCCCACTTTGACCTGAACTTCCGCATCGCCGTGTCCTTTAACGGACTCTTGAAAGCAGGGCTTTCGGGCTTTAGCGGGTTTGAGGCTTTAGGGCTTGGGGTTTATTGTTTCTGGCTTAGGGTTTCAGTTTTTGGTGCACTTGAAGGTTTTAGAGTTTTCTGGCTTAGGGGGCTTTGGTGCTTCAGGGTTTCAGGTTTTATTTGTGTTGTGGGATCTAAAGGCTTGCTCCTCCTTGTGAGGCTTCTTCGGATAAAGTAGTTCTTGAGGTGTCTTGTAAGTGCCCGCTGATGTTAGCCTGAATAAGCCTGAATAACCCTTGATCAGGAGTCGAGCACGCTTGCCAGTTCCCAGGCCACGGACTCACTAACGGGAAAAGGATCCCAAACAAGTGTGTCATCCTGAACGCACGGACTGGACCTGCCTCTCCTGTCTCTGGCATACCCTATTTTAATGGTGAGGACCAGATGGCGACTTCTACATCGCTTCCGGGCGGGTGGCCTCCACGCCACCCTGCTTGGTCGATGGAGGGTCCACGGAGGTTTGTAAAAATACAATAAACCCTGAACCACAGCCGGAGTCTCACAGCTCAACTCATCGATGTGGGTTAGCTGGGCTATATACGTTTGGTGTGTCAGTGCAGTTACAAAGCACCGCTGAGTGCCGAAAAGCAGGGCTATGTCGATTTGCGTGAGGTTGTTATTTCTGCGTGACTACCTCTGAGCTCTCAGTGCCGGTTCCGGCTTTCAAGCACAATTTTGTATTGCGCTGTCAGATGTCTTCGGTTTTGGCACATGTCATATACTCTCCAACTACATTCCAACGGCAATTATCCTGTATCCGACATACCGAGCCCCTTCAACACATATTGACAAGATCAAGACTGCACATCTCTGAACACACCCGATAAAGGTGGACAGCAGTTGTAGCAAGAAGCTAGAATACAGCTTAAATACCCTAGAAGCCTCTTTCTCGAAATTTTCAGGGCCCGTATATTGTTGCTGAGGGTGGCAGGTCCTAACCACCAACCCAGAGAGCCCAATACCCCTTAATGAAAGACTATACATTAAATCATAATATGAAGCCCTATATGTAATTTGAGCCATGTTCCTTAAATAAGGGGTCTTGGGCTCTCTGGGTAAATCCTCAAGCCCAAGCCCCAAGCCCAGGCCCTTCTCGCTGCCCTACGCCCTCGAGCGCCCCTACGGCTGGGCAGAGGGCGGAGCGGCAGTGAAACTGCGAGAGCCTGAGGTTTGGCCTAGGGCTTACCTGGGCACCAAAAGTATGTAGAACAATAGCCTTTTCATAGGCTTTGGGGCATTATTTTGCCTACTTCTGGGGGTCTGTCTAGGTAGGGGTTAATTAAGTCCAAATACCTGGCCTTTTTCTGGACTTGTACAAGGAAAGCATAGCAAGGAGCCCGAGCAATGTAGGTTTCCTAGCGTGGAGATAAGGTTTAAGTTGATGTTTTGGATTCTTAGGTTTGGTGCACGACTAGGCTTGGAAGTTCCCGGTACACTAGTAAAACCGCAAGCAAGTTCGAAGAGATAGTCCGGAGTGTGATGAGCCATAATTAGTGTGGTTGCAGGACTTCAAGGTTTTTGGATTTGAAGCTCGAGGTTTAGGTTAGGGGGTAGGGTTAGATTTGCAGTGGCTCTGTAAAGGTTTATGTAGGGTTCACAAAGATTCAGCGCTGTAGCTTTTTTGAGCTGTGAGGGTAGGCTTGCAAGGACTCTCCCAAACCTACCTATAGTCTCCATTTGTAGTTCCTTTTTTTTGGTTTAACCTAATATATATATATATATATATTATGGATCCTATGACGTAACCCCAAAAAGGAGCTACAATGGAGAGACTATAGGTCAGGGTTTTTTTTATGTCGCTGAAAGGTCCGCCTGGTGTTCCCGACTGGTTTGGGCTTCGATAGGATTTGAGGTTTCGGATCGAAAATGTGGGGAACCTTAGCTAGGATGCCCAGTAGTGCCCTTATTCCCTTTTTGTAGTCCTAGGTTCCTTATAAAGTTACCCAAGACCAAAAAGAGAGGTCTTTTTATTCTTAGGTTACTGGTTATCCTAGTTAGGTACGGCCCCCACTCTGTGATAGTTGAATAATATTCATAATGTAGATATAGTAGGACCTTAATAGTAGCCCTATTATAGACTCTTACTGTATGGGGGCCGTACCTAAGGGGAACCAGCGAGGCTTCAACAGTAGCTCAGGGTGGGTTTAGGGACGGTGGAGACCCTCTGATGTCGAAGCCCCACTGCCTGCTCCATCAAGCCGGAAACCCATGGCCTAGTTCCGAAAGACATACCGAACCTTCATTAAGCGCGGCTACAAATGCAAATTGAAACTCTAAACCTGTACCCCTAAATCCTACCGTCCTACACCCTGGCTAACCTCACAAGTCCTATACCTAAGCCCAAACTACCTTCATAAGTCCTATGAATAAGCCCCCAAGCCCAAAACGCTGTGTCTTAGGCACGGCGTCACCTGGCCGGAGGATGCTGACCTGGACCTGACACTGATTTTTGCCACTTCACTTGCTTTCAGGGCGGGTTTAGGGTACAGCAGGGGTTAAGGACGATTAGTGTAGTTTTCTTTGTTCGGAGGAGGTGCGGATTGAGGGCTTGGAGTTGAACATGTTAATAGATCTTTTGGGCTTTCGCAAATTAGTATCATAATATCGAAGACGGACGATCGTTCTTGCGATGTATTGCGATCTTCCACAGAATGACTACTATGGTTTCCTCAATATGGTAAGTGAGTTAAATAAGGTGCCTCAATAAGAACCCAGGAGATGTTGGAGCGTCTGCCAGGTTGCACACCAGCAGCACGATTCAGACTTCAGGGCGCAAGACTTTGAGTAGGGAGCTTGGGGAAAACATGTACCGTATCCCTCCAAGGACCTCATAGTTAGGGCCCTAGACCCCTTAAGGACCCCATAATAAGGTCCCTGGAGGGACAGGGGTAGGATTGGGATTTTTTTAGGATTTCGGGTCGTCAGAGATCTCAGGTCTTCAGCGACCGCGACGTCATGAGCCACTGCCACCGTGTCTCTATGAAGATTGCAGAGTGCTTCTTGGATTGAAGATCCAAGCTATTATGCGGGTGACCCCTGAAAGAGGCTTAGTCTTAGTCCAACTTCTGGCTCTCTGAAGAAGGAACCTATTCAGAGGGTCTATATCCCCAAGGGTCCCCGTAATCCTACCTCGTATCATGATAGCTAGTTGACACCGTGCAGCTGCTGCGGGATTCGCTTAGTTGCAGGTCTTTTTGTGGAGGGGGGGGGGGGGCGTGGCTGGTCCGTCTGGGCGTATCACTTCCTCAGGGCCTTAGGGCTGATGAGGAAATGGATGCGTCACGTTCGAGGTTAAGAGTCGCAAGAGGAAGAGAACAAGAGGTAGAACACTGGTGGTGGCATCTTGTATACCTGAAACAAGGCACGTCAAGTACAAAACTAAGTCTCGCATGCTGGGCCAGGGATTCTTTTTTTGTATTGTAAATCTTCTGTTGCCATAGACACATGCACAACTACGTGCATGCATACCGCATGTATTTATCTACCCCCCTGCCTAACTGACTAGGTGTAGTTGATGATGGCATCATAGAGCCTGGGTTCAAAAAATGTGAACGGACGAGCGGATGTGCATAACTACATCCATGCATGTATACATGTACACACCGTCCTGTGCTTGCAGAAAACCAGGGGCAAGCTCTTTTGCTAAACCCTAATCGCAAGGTGTTGTGCCAACTCCAGCGACATCCGGCTCGTCAACGGCTTCCTGGCGAAAGTTCGCAAACCCGAAACCCTTAAACTCCATGGACCTCAGAAGCCGTGCCTGCGTTGTGCGAGTGTGCGACTCGAAACTCCAATTTGTTTAAACTCGCTTATACAATTTTAAAAGGTTAACTTTTGGGCTAGGGTACTCAGCCCTCCCTGAGTTGAGCTCGCGTAGAAGTTTCGGGGGCCTGTGCAACCGGAGTTGGGCTTCTATAAGGGTTCTTTCCCAAAGGGTCCTTTGTACTGTTATGGGGGATACTTCCCTAAGTCATATTAGTAATTCCTAATATGAAAACCCTACATCCTACTATATCGATACATAGGACCCTTTGGGTTTCAAAGGCTTCTATGAGGGTTACGGCGTGCCTGAGATGTTTTTTAGTATAGGTGCTTTAACTTTAGACTGGTGCTTGGGTGCAGGTTGCAATAGAACTGCTGATGAATCCTATACTACAATCCTATAGGCCGAGACACTTGATGATGGCACGGCAGAGAGCGAGAGAGAGAGAGAGAGAGAGAGAGAGAGAATCCTATAAGCCCATTATCGACACCCTTCTGCAACCGTTCAAGGAACCTTTGTAGAAACCCTGTTCCAATTTTAAAACTCTAAAGCTCCTATGTTAGGTTCCTCTGCAGATGATGGCCACGCGCAGCGGCGAAACTGCGACCTACGACCTGCCGGGACTTAGCTACAACTTCATGGCCCCTTGGCCTCTTTTAACTCAGCAGCTGAGTTGGTAACCTTTTCTGGGTTTAGGGTATTGTAAGGGGTAAGACCTTCAACCTTTTGTGGTCTATGTAATCCTACCATCATAGAAAAGGTCAAAGGTTAACATTTTTTGAGCAGGGTACTCAGCCAATAAGTTGGTGGGTTTGAGGAAGGAGGGTTCTAGAAAAGTGTTGTTCCATGAGCATGTAACAGGTTATACGGCTTTAAGCGGATTCTAGTATACAGGTCTATCAAGGTTTCGCCACGATTCGGTTTCAAATCAGGGCTTTATTCAGGGGTTGCGAGGATGTGATTACACAGGTTTTACCAAGGTTTTGTTTCATGCGAAGTCGAAACGGATGATAACGTGCGAACCTGATTAAGAATCCCTGGCCCTATAACCCCCAATATATTAGGAATCCCAATAAAGGCCCAAGGTTTCTTAACCAGGTTCCCACATTATAAGGGTTTTCAAGGGCCCGCTGCTTCAAGTCAGGAACCAAATACGTGGCTTGCTTCAGGAGGGCATAATGGGGCATCCTAGTCGTCCTGGCTTGCTCAGGTGCTTCCTTGGTCCTTAATTTTGACAGTCCAGGGTTTGGGATTTAGCTTTGATCTTGGATTTGGGGTGCAGGGTAAAGGATGCCGGACCAAATAGTATCGTGAATCATGGCTGAATAGTTGTTGGTAGTACTAGTGGATGAGCTTTCTGGATATTGGATTGTAGGGCGTGCGGACTGTTGAAGTCCCTGCCAACACCTGCGCCTCTGAACCAACCAGCCAACCTGGACCAAGCCACAAACTCCGAATCCCTTAAACCCTAAACACTAAACCTAGACCAAACTGTAAACTCTCAATCCTCGAGTCTAAGTGTAGCCCAGGCTGTACCGACCGTGGATGCCGTCGTCCCGAACAGCGCGGCGTTGGCGGGCGGCACTTGGATCGAAGTGACCGGAGGCCGGTAATGTAGGAGCTCTTTTTTTTAGAATAGTGCTCCCCTAAGGGTTACCATGAGGGTTCTAATTATGATCTCGGGGCGTTTAATGATTAGAACAGGGTTTTTGCGGGCTCCTTATTCTCAATATTTTACAATATACCAGCAACCCTATTTTAATTATTAAGGCACCTATATTACCCGTATTGCGACCAGTACTAATACTGGTACCAGCACTTGACAGGGTTACCTAGTACTACGGTTGATGATATAAATCCTGCATTACCTTAAGGGCCCTAAACTATGGGCATTATGGTATATTCCTTATTAAGGGTCATGCAGGATTTATATCATCAACCGTACCACTACCACTATGGCTCGGCTTTCGCTGCTGCTGCTGCTGCTGCTGCTACTGCTGCTCCTACCGCCACTGCTGCTACAACAACTACGACTACAACTAACTACCGCTTCTGGGTCTTACTCTCTATTTGTCGGCGCGGATCTTCAGGGTATATGTACATGGTTTTGTCTGGGCACTAGCTGACTTCTCCAAGTTTATGATGGTATCTTTTTCAGATGAGGATTGGTGCGAGTAGGCTTGGGGACTGTGGGTGTCGGCAAGCCTCGAAACCCTGCACCGTTTGAGTCTTGGAGCGTTTTCTTTCACGGCCTTCATGAAAAGGCGGAGTTTGAATAGGGCTTGGGACTTGTGATTTTGGGGGGTCTTTGGGGTCGGGTAGGGGTTGTGCCGGAAGCCCTGATGTAAAGCTTTTTGCTGCCTCATGGAAGCCTACTAAGGCCTACTATTTGCTTAAGAACCCCCAAATAAAAAATATATTCCTTATAGGGATAATATAGGGATTATTATTTTCGGGGGTTCTTAAGCAAATAGTAGAAGCTGGACAGTCGTGGCAGGTCCCTTTGACGCACGGGTGGAGTATTGGTGCGTGTTCTTGCCGCTCCTCCGTCGCACTCGTGACGGCAACTGAAATGGATGGTAGAGACGAAGCCCAATGCTCTACTAATAGGGGCCTAAATAATTACCAAAACTGTTTTGGGGGTTCCTTATAATACGTACAGTACTAAGTATAGTATAATATATTCTCCCCATACGCTGTTCTAACGATTAAGGCCCCTACAGTATTTATAGCCCCACTTATAACTACCCATGAACCTGCAAGTAGCGGGCTGAGCATCTGGTGGACAGACCCAGAGAACCCAATACCTCTTAGTTATAAGGAAAATACCTTAAATTATAGGGGGTTTCATATTTTGATTTAAGGTATATTCCTTAATTAAGGGGTTTTGGGATCTCTGGGGAATGGGTTGGACAGCGAAATGCTTTGTTTTATATGCGAAGGGGCGTAAAGGCCTTACGAGCAAAACCGTTTAGGCTAGGGGTTTACATCTTCACACCGAAAACCGAGCCCCGGTCCATATCGAGGGGTCTCATTCAATTTCAGTGGCTTCGTCATGTGGGTAGTTCTCTGAATTACGGGCCCTTATAGGGCCCTTCTTATAAGGGTGCCGCACGGCTTTGGGACGGTAGTCCATAAGGCGACAAATCTTCCAAGCTACCCATGTAGTATGTCATCGGCATACATATATATATATATATATATATATATATATATATATAGGTTCAGGACAACCCTACGAATCCCAACTTCTTCTTGGAACCCTTTCCCAGGCCTCTGCCGGGAGTGATCCCGGATCTTCCGGCCTTTGGCCGCGGGCCCGGGAGGCCCCTAGGGGCCTTTTTTTGGGATTTTTGGTTGTGGCTTTTCTAAACCATATAGGTGGTTGTCAAAAGGACCCTAGAGTAGGCCCTTATTCCCTTTTTTAGGGTTCAGGTTCCCGAAAAAGCCCCTTTAAACCAAAAAGGGCATCCTTTTTATGCCTGGGTTGCTCTTGGGTCTAGAAAATTAGGGTCTTTTTTTGGGTCCTTAGTATGATACTGCACCTAATATTTAGGGTAGCCAGCAAGGGACCATAATTTTGACAACTACCCATATATGGGAGTTTCCGAAAATGAAGGGTACCTTACTTTGGGATCCCATTATTTAGGGTACTATGTTAGGATCCCCTATGTTCGGAAACTCCCATAAATCCAAAACCCTACCATGAACCCAACTGCAACACGCCAACGCAAGAACGAGTTGAAATGGTTTGGGCTCAATGGGCTTCAGGGTCCGGGTTTCGGGATGTATTGTGACTTGGTTTGATGCAGGATTGCATGACATCACTCAGGGCTGCGTCCCAGCTGATCAGCCAGCAGAGTCTGGAGTAGATGTTCAGGGCTTGGGGGGCTGGGGGGAGGTTTAGGGTGTTGGGGGCTATAGTGAGTAGTTCTATATAGGTTATAAACCCCCTCGCAGGTTTACAAGGTACATATGATTGTCGTAGCTACGGTACGTCATGATTGCCCATGAGCTTAAATTAAACCCTAAACGCTTCAAGCGAAGGGTTTTCTGGATGCTGTGGGTTTGAGCCCTAGAAAGTTCCAAGATGCCATGCATCTTCTCCTGTAGAGCCTTACTGAATTATTACCAATACTAGGACCCAGAGTAGGCCCTTATTCCCTTTTTAAGGGTTTAGGTTCCCTTATAACCCCCTTTATCCCAAAAAGGGCACCCTTTTTATTCCTAGGTTACTCTTGGGTCTAGAATATTAAGCCTCAGGGCCCTATTAGTGTGTTTAGTATGCCCCAAACCGGATTCTGGCTGTTAAGGGCCCTGTATTCTGCGATTCCTGCAGTGACACTACTTGGAGGTTCATGGGTAGTTATAAGTAGGGTTACCCTACTACGATCCCCTATTAGGGGACTTATAACCCTATGTAAAACTAACCCTAAATCCTTAATCCTAACCCGAACTCGGGAGAACCTGAGTGCTGGAGGTATCTGAACTTCACCACGATCCTCTGTGAGACGCCTCGGCAGCTGCTTCCCTCTGTCTGCCTCTTTGCGGAGAACAGCTACTAGCTTTGTTGTTAGGGACTTGGAAGTTGGCAAAGCAAGGATGTATAGTGCATAATGGGGTTCCCTATGCCTCGCCTGGATTGTCCGAGTGTGAGCGCCGAAACCCTAAACCCTAAACACGGTTTAGGGTTTAGGGTTTCCCGGACCGGGCTGCTGGACAACGAGGCCTGCTGCAAAAAGGGTTTAGGGTTCCCTTGTTATGGTACAAGCTGTGCCGCTCCATTAAGCTAGTGCAAGTGACTTTCCCAGTCTTCTCTTTAACAAGCACTAGTGGCAATTCCAGTGGTTATGTTTGTAGTCGTCATGGTTGTGGTAGTTCACGTCATCACTGCATCAGTGCGGGTCTCCATTAGAGTTAAAGTACCTAGTAATCAGATGCTCAACTACATGGCTATCACCCCTACCACTTCCCCAAGTCCAAGTACCGAATTCTTGGGTCCTTTTTGGACCTTGGGGTAGTTGCTTCGAGGCATCTTTCGCATAATTCAGGCACTATCGATCCCTCTATACTATGGTAACTTACAGGAAATCCTTTAACAAGAACCTCGTTGTGGTCAGGTACTCTTACATTGGCCTCCGACCAATCCATGACGAACCTGGGAATTGGCCACCTTCCCTTCGAGCACTCTGGCTCCAGGATTAGGGTTTCGCGGTTTAGTGGGTTCCTTTTAAAGGGCTCTATATAAGGGTTACTATGAGGGATCTATAGTAGGGTTCTATAATATAGTGGCCTTAATATTTAGTGGTTTGTGGTGTTTACTGCAGGGTTTAGGGCTTAGCCTTCAGGGCTTAGAGTGTAGGGTTCAGAGCTAAGGGTTTAGGGGCTTCGATTTGGGGCTTAGGGCGCAGGGTTCAGAGGTAAGGGCTTAGGGCTTACGTGGTTCTGGGCTGGGGCGGTCTATGGCCAGGAATGGTTCTTGACTGCTTGCAGGGTGTGGATTGGCGAGATCCTGCGCTGGGAAAAGACGGAAATAGCCGAAATTGCATCTCAGGGTTGAAGGTAGACTAGCACCTAGATGATCTCCACAATCAAGACTTCCCTTAAACTGTAAACCCACCATCCCGATCAGCTGCAGCTTTGAGGGTCAATCCGGTCAGTTTCGGATCAGTTTAGCCCCAAACCTCACGCTTTGGGTTACGGGTGGGCACACCGAAGACAACACGACACGTCCATCAATAAGAAGCAACGAGCACCACCATTAGTCATTGTTGAAGTTTTACTACCAACATGTATGAAAGGCAGTAGCGCCATCAGTCATTTATATAGCCTTCAGTCCTGTTTGGGGCTACAAGGAGGGTTTTGGCAAGGTAGGGTGAAGAAACCTCGTCTCCCCAGGTTCTACGCACCTATGGTGGTCGAAGAGGAGGCCCGGCCCTGGCTTTCACCCAAAACGCAGGGCCATCAGGCCATTGTCACGTTGTAAAGTTGTACATCAACTCATGGGGCGCAGGTGTCGATACTGGAGCCGGATGGATGCAGGGTCTACAACTGGCTCAGGGTTGAGTTTAGTCTGGAATTTCGCTAGGGTTTGTGGTTGTTTGGGATTTTCGCGAAGTTGATATAGAGTACTGGTTAGGTTTCTTGTGTCCACACAGGGTTGAGGCTGTAGGTTTAGTGCCCAGCAGGAAAGTCAAAGGCTTGAGGCGACGTGCGCAAAACAACTTGGGCTGCCAGCATCTGTCAGAGCCACAAGACTTTGGAACGGTCTTTATGCCTCACAGTTTGCAAAAATGCACACCCTAGCGAGAGCGTAAACCTCAACCCTAAGCCTCCGAGGGATGCACACCAGACTCAGGAAGAGCTTAAACTAATGTAGGGGCCTTAATAACTAGCATAGGGTTTCGGGCGTTCCTTGTTATAGTATAATATGCCCCAAAACCCTATTCTGATATATTATTACACCTTAATGCTTCTTGCACAAGTCCCGGGATTTCCCTGCCAGGACTCCGAGTACAATGCATCGGAAATCATCGCTGCCGCAGAATCCCAGAGGTGCACAGTAAGTCTGAGTTTTGCTTGCGGGATATGGGGACGTACTAGATGGGTGGTAACTGTGGGTTTTTTCACTGACAGGCTAACCTCCATCAGGATGCCTCCAACCAGACGTCTAACCTGCATGCTGCGTCACATGATGATCCAAGTGTTTTCCGGGAGCAGGCGGAACTGCAATTACTTTCTCGTTGACACGTGGGTGGGGTGGGGGGCTATCAGAAGACAGCAAGCCAACAGGGACTCCGAAACCGCATATGAATCTTAGGAACCCCAACGGCACCAGCAAACCCCCCACATGCAATAGAGGGGCCTACAGGCTCAAATGAATACCAAGACTATTCCTCTGGGAGCAAAGAGCCTTTAGCTTCTGAGCGGGGTATAAAACCGTTAAGTTTTTGGAGCTACATGAAGTCCTAACATTTGTGATGATAACCTATAGGTTTGTTGCAGTATATGTGTATACATGTATATAGACAGGTACGTGTGTATTTGTGTTTGTCTCGCCCCGACGTAGGTGACATGAATCGGTGTGCTGTTGGGTTGTTTTGTGAAAGGGGTTTGAGGTCTAGGGTGTAGGGGTGGGCGTGAGCTTAAGGCGTAGATACCTGAGATATACGCTCATAGCCTAAACCCCACCTCTAGTATTCATTGAATTTTTTTTGTGGCTTCCGTATAGGATCCTAAATCTGAAAGTTGGATAAACCAAAGAGAGTACTACAATGAACGCTTCAAGTAAATCCTAAACCATTGAGCTTGATAGCAGGGAATACTCCCTCTCCGTGTGGATCAAAGGGTAAAAGGAGGGACCCCTAATAAGGACCCCTAGGTGTATACCCATAATATAGCCATTATATACCCATTATATAGCCCAGTATAGGGTAGGGGTCCCTCCTTTTCCCCTTTGAGTGGAGGAAGCTTGCCATGATGAGTGCGCGGCAGGCCTTGATTGGTTTTAGGCATTTAGGAACCGGGCTTGACGTTTCGAATGCCTGGGAGAGAGAGAGAGAGAGAGAGAGCAGAGAGACTTTGAAGACTAGATGCAAGAAGGGTTTAGGAGTGCTAGGATAGAAACGATAATGCCAGTCACAGGGCACATGTTGCGGGCTGGAAGGGACGTCGGTCGTGGAAACTCGGACCTTCGAGGTTTGTGCAGAGGCGCCTTTGTCGGCTGGTTGCGGGCACCCCGGACCCTAGCCTAGACCGTTTGCGGCATTGGACCGGGTTGAGTGAGGAGAAGCAAAACCCTAAAGTCCAAATAAACATAACTCCAGTTCCAGAGACCTCGCCTGGCTTGCCCCAGTTGTGAGAGCCTACACCCTAGTCCCAGCGGACTTAGTATCTGAAGCCATGCCTGCCTTGTGCGAGTGCGTGAGTCGAAACCCTAATCCTAACCCAAGGCCCTAAACCTAAGCTATACAACCTAAGCCTTGGACTCTAAACTTAAACTAGTACATGTTAAAGACCCACAAACCCTGAACCCAAACCCATCAACCCTAAACCCCTAAATCCCTAAACTCCTAACACCTAAACCAGAAAACCCCTAAACCCTAAACCCCTAAACCCCAAAACCTAAGCCCCTAAACCCCAAAACCTAAACCCCGAAACCCTAAAGCCTTGAACACTTAACTCGAAATTGAGCCATCCTGTCCTGCACGAGGAGGAGGAGCCGATGCCCAGGCTTCATGGGAGCACAGGGGGCCCTCGAAACTTCAAAAGCCTCTGAAGTAGGGTTCAGGGTTAAGGGCAGTGGTAATCCTCTTGATCCCTTGAAACTTCAAAGCCTCTGAAGTATTCGTTTAGGGTAGTGGTAATAAGGTCCTTTTTGAGCTCAATCATCAGGGCAAGCAGACACATATCCCAAAGGCTTACCTAGCTAAACGTTTCATGCTTTGGGGGGCCTCAAGAAGCTTGGAATAGGATTCCTTGATAGTGTGCTGACAGGAGTTACTATACGGTCAACACTTCGAACAGTGTTCTTTTCGTAGGGACATGAATGGGTTTTAGCACTTTTTGTATCGGAGCCTCACTAACTCGAATAAGGTACTGGGGTATGCGATGTCTCATATTTCTTTGGGCACTGCAAAGGGATAAAGGGGAACAGTAGCGTGTACCGGGTTCTTGTCAAAGAACGTAATGTAGGATCCCTAAATAAGTTCTGTAGTATGTATTGTGATTTCCTCGGGATTTTTATCCTGAGGCTTAAACCTTAACAACGATACCCAGATTGCATTCGGAAGACTCCCCAAAAGGCGTGGTGCTTCAACTGTAGGGTTTCGGGGGTATATGGACCACAGAAGGCAAGAGAGGCTGTATACTTGGGAGATGTACCGGGTTTATTTACTAAGGTGGGTATATATATATATATATATTTTGTATGTATATATATATATATATATATATAGGGTTTAGGGGGAGTTGTGAGGGATCCCTCGCCCCCAAAGGCCTAGACTTTGGATCTGCCAAGCCCTGAATTCCCTGCATTCTGAATCTCTGCGGCGGGGAAAGCATTCACCCAGGATCCCTATGATCATTCTAGGAGCCTAAGCAGCCCCAACCTAACCCTTACCCTCGAGCTTAAATTTTTTCAACTATATCCTGAATCCTGAACCCTATACTTAAGCTTCAAGCTGGTTTGGCTTAGGCTTATGATGGTATGGTGGTGGTTGTACAGTCACTTCTGGCATGTTAAGGTGGCAACAGAGAGGTAAGGACTTGCTCGAAGCCAGGCGTGCGTCGTACGAGTGTGAGAGTAGAAACCCCAAATCTCCCACACCCACCGCCAAATCCGTTTTAGCCCCCAAACCCCTAAGGCCATGAATCCCGAAACCTGAAACCGAAACACATCCGCTGAAGGCAGCCAGCCACAGCCCCGCCCGCTCCTTGCCTGACAAGGGTCCGAGGCCTCCTTCTAGGATGCCCAGTAGTACCCTTATTCCCTTTTTTGTAGTCCCAGGTTCCTTATAAAGTTACCCAATACCAAAAAGAGAGGCCTTTTTATTCTTAGGTTACTGGGCATCCTAGCCTTTATCCCCAGACCGCTGGGAGGATCTTTAAAGTAGAACCCGTAATCTGCTACCCTATACCTGGGTTTGGAGTACCATACTTGTATTGTTTTTTTTTGGTACCTGTTCCTTAAAGGAACCATCATGAAGTACAAGTCTATACTTTTTTCTCCCTGGTTACTTCAAGTCCAGTATACTACGAAAAGGTACGGTTGGATCCTCCCAGGGGTCTGCCTACAAAGGATGCTTTAAGGCTTTAAGGGCTCCTGCAAGGATCCCTTTCAAGGTTTCTATCAAGGATTCCTTTTTTTTCAGGGACCCTATAAGGAATCCTTGATTGAAAGGAACTATAGTAGCACTATAGACAGTGTAGGGCTTGGGCTCCTTGAAAAGATGCACGTGCGTGTGTTTAGGCCTTCCTTGTATTGGCTGCTTTCAGGGTGCCTGCATAGGGTTCCACAAAGGGCTTCCCGTAAGTTCAGCATTCTGGTGTGGAGTTTTGCGGCTTTTGGTGTTATACAGAGAAGTAAGTACCTTAAGGTGCAGTGTGAAAGTTCTGGATTTTGGCCAATGGCTGTCACCGGAGCAAAGTATTGTCAAAATTGTGCTGAGGTGGTGCCGGACGAGCCAGAGCCTGTGCCCGTGTTCCCAGCCAACAACACCGCGCTGTCGATACCGTCTTCCACATCTTTTGTGCCGCTCCGTCGACTTTATCCTAAACCCCAAGAGACCCTAAGAGCTCAACCGTTGCAGGCCTCCGTTGCAGGACTCCTGACCCAAGTCCTTGACCGCAGACGCCAAACTCCAGACGCGAAGCAGACACATTTCTTCTGCTTTCTTCGGAATGCAGCGTGCAACATGTGAACCATTTTTTTCTTGACGGGCCTGTCTTGAGTTTGTGAAGATGTGAACACGGCCACGATCGCCTGAACAGCCATGGCGTCGATAAGTTCCGGGCTCTAGTTTCTTAAGACTCGTGTGCCGCTGCTTTTGGCCACGGAGAGACCATGCTGTGTCAGCCTAGCAGCCTGTCTTGAGCCTCAAATAGTGAAAGCAGATCGTACACACGGGTATATCGAAAGATCCAGTTGAGAAGTCAACCCCTAAGGCATCTTAGTGTTGGGCCAAAGTTTGTGTAGCTGGCCAGAAGTTGCATCACAAGTCCTGGACTCATGGCGCTACGTACTTCATCCTTGGACCAAGAGCCTCTACATGATCTGCAGAAAGAAACTCGCTTTTTTTTCCTGGACCAAATCCTCGTTGAGTGTACTCTCAACCCAGAAGCCTGAAATCAAACGGTGCCAAGCCCCCAGCCCTAAACCGCTTAAATCTCAAAACCCTAAAGCTCCAAGCCCTAGGCCCTAGGCTTTACGACCTCTGTCTCTAACCCCGCCACTAGGACCTAGAGTAGGCCCTTATTCCCTTTTTTAGGGTTCAGGTTCCCTTATAAGCCCCTTTACACCAAAAAAAGCACCCTTTTTTATTCCTAGGTTACTCTTGGGTCTAGGCCATGGAAACCACAGGTCTTCGGCTTTCAATGTGACGACCTATCAGCCAGGAGTCCGACACCTGGGCCGAAGATTGCGCGGGGAGGATTAGCAGGGTTGCTTTGTAGGGTCTGACATCGTGGAGACAGGGTAGAAGCCCTTTAGAGGGTCTTGCAGAAGTCTTGACACACAGACTGACAAGGACAAGTAAATTATGACAGAAGACCTGCACGCAGTCGCCACACGCAACCACCAGCTCTGACACATTCAGACACGCAGGACAACGGCGGTACTGACGCAGTTTTGTTGCCCAAGGAATCCTGCACATCGCGCCCCGGTCGTTCCTACCCTACCGTGACTCCACTTCTGGAAAGCCGCATATCATTCACCTCACGGTGGGAGGTGGCTTGGCAGAGTGAAACAAGGTTTATAATGTCTTGGGCCTCGAATTTCCAAGGGTAAAAGGAGGGACCCTTAACAAGGACCCCTAGGTATATACCCTTAATATGGCTACTATATACCCATTATATAGCCCATTATAGTGTAGGGGTCCCCATTCAGGGTCACTCCTTTTCCCCCTTGAGAATTATATAGGATGTTGTGAGGGCACCCAACGGAGAGCCGGAAGCAAGCGGACAACTTGAATATGCCCTCGGTCTGTTCCATCGAGCATGCTCTACGAAAGAACCAACTGTCAGAGAGCATTAGACTGCATACTATACAGTATGTTCGGGTTTAGCGATTTCGCATGCCGGAATTTATAGTCAAGGATTTTTTTCTTCATATACATGTCCAATAACTCCGTGTGTGACACTGTACACGTTTGTACATAGCTCCACCTTCGGTGCAATATGCTTGTATTGATTATGTCTATGTTCTATGTATATATATATATATATGTACCTATCTACCTGTCTAGCCAGCCATCCATCCATTCATGTATCTGTCTGTCTGCCTGTCTGTCTACCTATCCATCTGTCTCTTGTCCTGCGTAAATGTGTGTACACAGTCTTCATCCCGCAAGCTTTGCACCCTGTCCCTGCGAACATCTTCTCCAAGAGTCGATCAGCGCTGAAATCGTCCTTGAAGTCCTCACGTCCCGCACTCGTCAACTCCGGCCCACCCTGCGCAGTGGCAAGCAAAGCAGGCAATATAGGGGACTGACAAATTTTCATTCCTGAATACGTGCATACTAATTATCAGATATGCCCCAAAGCCCTATTCAAACTATTAAGATACCTATACTAATCACAATATTTTCAACGCTTCATAGAAATTCATAAATGTTTTACCTAAGCCCTGAACCCTAAACCCCCAGAAGTAGGTACCACAGGATACTGGCCCAAGGCTTTTCTTGATATACTTTGCGGGTGCCAGGTAGTACCGCAAGACCAGAGAGACACGGGTTAGTGCTTAAGGGTTCAAGGGTTGTTGCCTTAGGGTTTAGCTTGAGGGTTTGGGGGCAGTTCCGAAAGCTTGAAAGCCTGAACCCCAGGCTTTAAGTACTGAGTCTTGTCCTGGCTGTTGCAGCCTCTTCGAGACCTGTGGCGATCGTAGACAAGGAGCTAAAAAAAAACAAAAAATGCTCGGCATTCAGGCTTGTCGGAGAACATCCACAACTGTGTCGTCCGCTTCGGCGACGTGGATGCCAATGCGACAAGGGCCCGGGCCTCCGTACAGCAGGGCTATGGCGGCTGAGAGGTTTAGGGGGTTTAGGGGCTTCAGGGTTTAGGGGGTTTTAGGGTTTAGGGGGTTCAGGGTTTAGGTGGTTCAGGGTTTAGGGGGTTTAGGATTTAGGGGGTTTAGGGTTTAGGGGGTTCAGGGCTTAGTCTGGAGTTCTATGAGTTGAACACTGGGATCCGGAGCACTCTACTCATGTGCTTTTTTGGTGTGTTTGGCTTGCCAGTTTGGAAGAACCCACTGCGGAACAAGAGTGTGATGCATTCTCTCGGTTGTTTCACAGTCTAGCATTTTGCGAGTTCATGACTATTTGTTGTTTTTTGTTTTCGTTCACGGTGTTGCTGTTGCTGTGAATACTTGCTACTCAGTTGGCACCTTGGTTGGAGACAATTTCGCAAAAAAAAATGTAGCCAATTGTTGAGGTTTGCGAGTGTGCGTCTCCTGCAAAGCGCCCCGCCAGATAGTTTTGACCGATGCACCGTAGGCTTTCAGCGAATCTTTCAGAAATCTACAGGTTCAATTCCGTCACGGAGGATTTTTTGCACGACTATATATGTGACAAGTTCAGGGTCCGGCTGCCTTCGTCTAGTTTTGGTTTAGGGTTTAGGGTGGTTTACGGTTCTACGAACTTTCGAAGCTCAGGTGGCCAATTCGTCTTTGATCGAAACCATCGTCCCGCCGGCCTTCACGAACATAACCGTGCCCTTGCACATCTACTGCGGTCAGGACCAGCGGTTCGGTACTGCTTACGATTAATTCAGATCTCGGATGACTTGTCTGATGCTGTTATCCTACCTATAGTCTTAATTTTCGTTTCTTTTTTGGGAAACCTTGAAGGGTCCCGACTACAAAACCTGTTCAACCAACAAGGAGGAACTACATGTAAAGGAATCCCTCGACCCTGAATCTTTCAGGAGCTGCTGCAGGTCACCTACCCTCAGACCTGGATCTTCAGGTACGTTTTCTTGTGCGAAGCTCAGACATCAGCCCTATCCCTCCAAGGATCTCATAGTTAGGGCCCTAGACCCCTTAAGGACCCCACAATAAGGTCCCTGGAGGGATAGGGCAGGTGTACAGATGTGTCCAGTAGGGTTTGGAATTTAGGCCTTCGGCTGCTTAGAAGATCAAGAGGGTTAGGATGTATACGTACATATGTATGTATGTATGTACGTATTTATATATGTATGTATGTATGTATGTATGTATGTACGTAATTACGTGTGTATATATATATATATATAGATATATATATATATATATATATATACTTCTATATCTGTCTGTGAGGGTGTGCGTGTCTGTTTGTGTAATGGTCTGCGTCTGTGCGTTTGCAGTTGTGTGTTTGTGTGTATGGATGCATACGTTTTAGATGTGAAATGATATGACACGACTGGATACGACATGAGATGGTATGACATTATATGACACGGTTTGATGTATATTACATACATACATACATACATACATACATACATGCATGCATGCATGCATGCATACATACACACACATATCCTCATATGTACATACATACCATCACATTACACTACAATACATCTCATTACATACATATAGACATACATATGCATAAGCTAAGTTTCCACATACATACACATACGCAGTAATGATAAGCTTGTGCAAGCTCTCTACAGCAACCAAGAAGCTTATGTCCAACATCTACGAGTTTGAAGCCAACTCCAGCTGCCATGGTCCAAACCGCATGTTCACTGCAACGGTATAGGTATTTCAGGCTTAGGTTTGGTGTTATGGTAACCTGTGCGCATCAGTAGTGCTGGTGACCTGAGGTGTTCGAACCTCTTGCCACAATCTCATGTGATCCGATCTAGCAGCTCCAGGGACTAGCTCTACCGCTCCTCGCAACTCGCTTGTCGTAGCAAAAGCCCAAGATCTCCCCTGAGACACCCTGCTCCACCGTTGAAATAGTTTTTCCTCCTGTAGCGCAAAACAGTAAACCGCAGAGTCCTGGATTGTCCGAGTGTGAGCGCCGAAACCGCAGAGTCTAAATCTAAGCCGTAAAACACCGAACCTAAATACACCCTTAACTCCTAGTATCTAAACCTTAAACCCGAAACCATGTGCCCTTCGACTTGCTTTGCAAAGGCCAGAGGTCCACGCAGTGGATCCAGAGGAGGTTCTGGGGCTTTCTTACGTGCTTTATGGGCTGCTTCTGCTTCAGAAGTTTAGCATCTAGGGTTACAAAAGGGCTTCAGGGTTTCGGGTTACTGGCTACACTTGGGTCCAGTAGCACACAGGGTGTCAAAAGAGCTTGAAACTCGAAACCGTTCGGGGTGAAGGGCTTTTGGGATGTTTAGGGTAAACTGACTACCTAGACCCTCAAAAATAGGTAAAATAATGGCCCAAAACCTAAAAGAGGCCATTATTCGTCATACTTTTGGGGTCCAGGTACAAACAAGGGCACTAAACGCTAAAACCCGAAAGCCAGCATCGATCGAACTGAATCCTCACGAAGCTAGGATCCGGTCCAATTTACCATTAGTCTCCATTGTAGTTCCTGTTTCGTTTAACCAATTACATATATATATATATATATATATATATTACGGATCCTATAAGGTAACCCCAAAAAGGAACTACAATGGAGACTATAGGCACAGTAGAAGCCCAAAAGTTGGAAACCCAAGAGCTTCAATCCTTAAGAGTCATCTATAGGGACTCCCAGCACTATTTGGCCTTAATCCGGCTTCCAACTTGATAGGCTTTACTGCAAAAGATGGGTCTACCTTCTGCCTTCTGAAACCCTTGATCCTGCACCCGAGCCCAAACCCAGGACTCCAAAACGATAGCCCTGAAACCAACAAGTTTTTCAATAAGCCACTTGCCCAAACTGCAAGCTGTAATGCGCACCCAGAGGCTCCACAGTAGTTCCTTTTGAGGGCTCATATTTAGAATCCTATAAGGTAATCCCGAAAAAGAGCTACAATGAAGCCTAATTATGGGTAGGTCACCAGCCCTAGAGCCCCCCCTGCAGCCCTGCGCCCCAGAAGCATGCTTGAATGCGAAACCCAGCACCCCTCCACTTCCGCAAAAGCGCAGGCGTTTCACCATCTCTAACCCACCCAAACCCTTCCTGGGGATCCAAAAACCTACAGTTTTAAGGGTCAGACCCTCTAATTAAGGGGTCATAACCTACTATTTAGTAGGGTTTGGAGTCACAGGTTTACCCTAAACCGTCGAATGTGCTTTGTCGTTCTGCTACCTCGGATCCTCGGCTGCTTGTCTAGTTGTGAGTGCTGAAGCCGTCGAATGCTGCAGGCAGATGTGTCTCAACATGAGTGGTTGTCAAAATTATGGTCCCTTTCTGTGTCCCTAATATAATACGGCACCTAATATTTAGGGTACCCAAAAAGGGAGCCCTATTTTGACAACCACCCACATGTGCAGGCCGATGCCCAGAGCAGAGAATGGTTGACACTCCACGGTCGCTACTTCGAAGACTACCCAGGCGACCTGAGTTGGGTTCCCGGAGTTTTGTTGCTGTTGAGCCGACCTTTGAAATGATGGACATCACCATCCAAAGGGCTGCAGAAGGTTCTTGCAAGTGCATGCTCGGGTTTTTGTTGGCTTCTGGGGTTTGTAGGCACTGTTGAACGACATGTTGGGAGCTATAAGAGGGGGTCAGGGCTTGTGTTCTCCAGAAGTTTCCATGGAGGAACTGCAGATTGTCAAGACATGCATGTGGGTGGCGATGCTCCCTGCCCCAGTATATCGTAGTGGAATGTCAGTATCGTAGATATACATATATATATATATAGAGTGAGAGAGTATACTGCAGTTTATATGCTAAAGTATACTACAGTATGTTGTGAGGTCGTGCGAACCCAGAGCTTCCAACCACTGCATGGCCCGCAAGTGGGAACAACAGAACCCCAAACTTAAGTTTAAATACAAAAATCTCCGAAGTCCCAACTACATCTCTAGACCCTGAACCCCCCCACAGTCCTACAGACCTACCCATGCCAGGCCGGGCCTGTAGTCTCCATTTCAGCTCCCTTTGTTTAATGTTAGGAGCCCATAACCCAGAGACTCCAATACCCCTTACTTAAGGAATATACCTTAAATTATAGTAGGATCCTCTAGGACTTAGAGTAGGCCCTTATTCCCTTTTTTAGGGTTCAGGTTCCCTTATAAGCCCCTTTAAACCAAAAAGGGCATCCTTTTTATGTCTGGGTTGCTCTTGGGTCTAGTCCCTAATAAATATGATTTAAGGAATATATTCCTTTTTAAGGGACTTTGGAGTCTCTGGGAATCCTAGCCCCCAAACAAAGGACCGAAGCCAGGCCAGGCTTGCCCCTAAACCCTAAACCCACCCCCCAAAAAAAAATCTTAAAACCCCTAAAATCCCTAAACCCTAAACCCCCTAAATCCCCTAAACCCTAAGCCCCTAAACCCCTAAACCCCCTGAACCCCTAAACCCCCCTTAAAATCTCTAAACAAACAGCCAGGCCGGGCGTGCATGATCGGAGGTCAGCTGGTTCAGAACGTGGCGGTGCGCTGGCTAAGCTTCTGGCCTGCATCTTACACTTTACATATTTTTTGGATAATATTATATAGCCACTATAACACTGAAAGTCTACACTTTTTGGGTGCTTTTGAACTCAGCATCTAAGGTATGGAGGAAGACAGGTTGGTTTTGGGGTTTTCCGGCTTTGGCCCGTTAAGTCGTCGGAGTTTAGCGCCTTTAGGGTTGCTTCGGGGTTTGGGGATCTTTGAGTTTACCTATAGTCTTCATTGTAGTTCCTTTTTCTGGTTTAACCAATTATATATTAGGGATCCTAAAAGGTAACCCCAAAAAGGAACTACAATGGAGACTCTAGGTAGGGCTCAGACTTTGGCCCTTAGTGCTTACAGTAGAAGCCGAAAAGTTGGAAAGCCCAGAGCCTCCATCCTTAAGAGTAATGTATAGGGAATCTCACCACTGTTTGGCCTTAATCCAGTTTCCAACTTTGGTGGGTTTACAGTGGGGCTTAGGGTTTTTTGGTTCAGGACTAGGACTGTTAGGGTTTAATGTTTGGGGGCGATTTCGGGGTTGTTGGAGTTTCAAGGATTTAGGGCCTGTGCGGAGGGTGGGGTGGGGGGGGTCTCGATTTCGTTCTTTTGCGAATAAGGGTTTTCGGCTAGCGGCTTGAGGCCTTAGATTCACGGGCTTGAGGGCTTCGTGGTTCAGGCTTGGCGCTTTAAACAAGTAGACGGGGTTAAGCTATGCACCCCTAAGTGCTCGAGATGTATGTGAATTTTGAAGCCCAATCCCACACCAGCGCGAAGAGTAGACATGAGTAGACCCCACATACAGTGCCAAAGAATGCTGTGTGGAATCCCAGGTTCAAGCATGGTCCAGTGCCGCATGCCGCTCTGGAAACAGGTGCGGATCGAGGGGACCCTGTGTGTCTTTGTGCAGCTTTACGGTATGAGCAGAAGCAGGAGGTGGCATGCTGAGAATAGTATACTTGAAGCCTATATAACTACCTACATTTTTCCTGAGGGTTCCTTATCATGATTACGTATACTACAAAGCCCAAAACACCATTCTAATTGTTCAGGCCCCTACATTAGTGGTAGAGGCAGGAACCCCTTGTGTAGTCGCAGAAGGAGGAGGCGGAGGCGGTAGATGCAGCGCACCACCTCCACCACGATGATGATTAAATCGACGACGCCGACTGACACTGTTCCTAGATACTTCTCCAGAAGTTCCATCAAGACGACGTCGTAGTCCCTGTAACCCCAGCTAAATCTGTCATAGCCACAATGTCAAAAAAATCATAGGGACCCTTAGGGGGGGTAGGGGGGAGGGGGGTAGGGGACTATTTAATAGGCCTTGTTAGGTCCTTGTCACAGGCATTAATTAAGGCCCCTCTACCCCCCTCCCCCTACCCCCCTCAAGGGTCCCTATGAGCAAAGAAGGATGCGCCACTCCTGACTGTCGCCTACTCCAACGACGGAGCCTACTTCTCCGGCGAGGTCGTCGTGGTAAACACCTGGGTCCGCATCCCAACTGCATACTATAGGGGCTTGTATAACACTCTAAGCTATTTTGGCGGTCCTGATTATTATTATTCTTCATATTTATGATTAATGTATAGTATAGTAGTACTTGGAACAAAGGCTGGAGTTTCAAAGACACATGCCCCTCAAGCCCAATCGCCTGGAATATGTTGGATCTGGCGGTTTCGGGGCTAGCGCTACGGTATGGTGATCATCCATATCATATTCCATCATGTCGTGTCGGAATGGGCTTTCTAATTGCTTTGAGCTGTGTGTGTAACCGTGCTTATGTATCTATATATATATATATATACATACGTCAACACCGTCCTCGCATCTGGATGGCGCTCACTTGCACAGCTTGCGCGATTTGACACAGCTTACCCATCTGCTGCTTCTTTCACAGCCACAGGACTCGTTGCAGTCGAACCTTGAAGGGATTGGGTCTCCAGCTGCGATTGTGTTTATAGGGTTTGAGCTTACGAAGGAAACAGCGAGAGAGAGAGAGAGAGAGAGAGAGAGAGACAGGGTCTACATAGTGTAAAGGGGGGGTAATGGGTGCAACGGTGCTGAACAGAGCCTCTGTCAACAAACCTGGGTGTTTCACGGCGAGACGAGAAGACCGGTGCGCGCATGCGCGCGAGGGGGGTGACCCCTTCTGCCCGAGTGCAAGCAAGAGAGAGACAGGGACAGACAGGGTAGAGAGAGAGAAAGATTCACTTACATATACACATGCAGGCGGAGAGAGTTTAGGGAGACAGAGAGAGAGACATGGTGAGAGCGAAGCAGTCAATCTTGCACAGCGAGCAAAGCTTCAGGAATTCGCCTCTTCGATGTTCAGCCTCGCACCATGTCAGCACTGTGGACCTGAAATCAGGGTACACCGGCATTCTGGTTTGTGGATGTCCATGGATGTCCCGGCCTAGGTCTATCACCGACACGTTATATGTTAACAACAGTATTATAGTCATTGGTTGTCCGTTCGCGGGGGTTGAACCCCGAGAAACGAATTCGGCATCATAGATTCGTAAGGTCCCCCTGATCAAGCTTCTCGTTCCTGTCAGCATGGCCTCCAGTGAACTGCCATGCACAACGAGCATGCTCCTGGTTTCTTTTGTGTCTTGTCAGTTGTCTGGTCCGCGTCGCCCGTCAATAAGAAACCCTGAAGAGAACATCCAGAGTCACTAGACCGAACCCACCACCGCGACCAGCACTACCCGGCTCGGGACAAGGTGTGATCTATGTCGCCGAGCCGCGGAACATTACTCTTTATGGTTTCAACTTCATCCCAGGGCTGCAGCAACTTGTCATGCTTTTGAAATTTGATCCAGAGTTTACAGGGTTTAGGCTGACCTTCCGGGTTTCCGCACTTCAGGCTGGCCGGGGTGCGACGGCGGTGAGGGTGTCGGAAAGAGGGTGGTTTGTTGTGTGGATTTCGGTTTTAGGATGTCAGGCGAGGTACGAAGCTTGTTGCAAAAAGATGTCGGGTTCGGGGTTGTTGGACACCAGAATCAGAGTAACAAGGGCAAGAAAGGTTCATGCTACTTCAGGGCCAGTCGCACAACACTGACAAGTAGCGGTAGGAATACAGTATACTACTATACTCGTGGAACCCTTGTCGTAACGGTAGGAATACAGTATACGGATAATGACGGTCTCCAGATGTTTTGAGCAGTCCGAGTTTTGGACCCTCCCCAACAGGCCTTGGACCTTAACCACAATCAGTGTTAAGTACATGTTCTTTAGAGCACAAGCTTCGAGACAATAAAACCATTCAAAACCCCTTTGTTGACAAGGGTTGAAGGTCTCAGAAGTTACGCGGTTGACCTTGACATCTTCCAAGATCCCTCGCCACTGTGACTTCTGTACTTGGCTTACATGCGTGAGAATGCAGGAAGTGTTCCCGAAAATTGTCCAGAAGAGGCAGACCCTAGCAGTAGCCTGGAGTGTTCTCATTGAGCATGCCGTGCAAAACCTGCATGGCCCTCACGCAGACAGCCAGCCTTAAAACATGTCAGGAACATTGGGAACAGGGTAATTAGGGCCCAGAGCTTGAAGGCGTAGGAAGATCCCACTGGCAAGGTGCCTCTTCAACGACTTCCTTCGTGTGGCGCCGGCTGCCCGTCATCACGGGGCCTGCTACTTTCTAGTGCAGGGCCAAAAGCACCGGACAACCCGGTAACCGCAAACTCCCGGCTGGCTGTTCTGGTTTTGGATCTCCAACCACGAAAGCATGCTTGATGGGGGGAAGCCTTCTTGGTTTTGTGCCGTCGGTGGCAAGACCTGGCCCCCTAAACCCTAAACCCAGCCTAAACCACAGTTACCCTCTAACTCCAAGCTCCACCGACGGATAAAAGTATGGGAAAGAAGGCGGCTTGCAGATGTTCGGAGCTTCCGATCTGCTCCTCTGCCCCCATCAACCCCTGAGTTTCCCAACTATCTCATGGGAGTTTCCGAAAATTAGGGGTACCTTATTTTGGGGTCCCTATAATACGGATCCTACTATTTAGGGTACTATATTAGGGTCCCCCATTTTCGGAAACTCCCTCATAGCATGCTAGGCATGGCTCGGCTTCGTTACTCAGAAGGTATGATGGATCGCAAGTCGCGCGTCCATGTGGCCGGGTACCTTCAATTCCTGCTGGCCTAGATTCAAAAGGCCTCGAAGCGAAAGCCGCAACTCCTCAAACCCGCAGTGTGAGCCTTTGATCACGAGTCCTAAGCTACTTGGGCCTACAGAACAAGGGTTTTCTAAACAAACAGAAGAGGGTTTTTTCAGGGATCTGTGGGGTTTCCTTAAGGGGCTCCGTTAAGATCAATTTGGGCGTCGTTTAAAAGCCCTCTGCTGAGTTCTACTTGCAGCACGAGATGCTCACTTGTGAGATGCCTCCTGCTTTCATGCCACCTGGCCGCCCTTGAAATCACACAGCAGGCTTTAGGTGCAGTGGAGGGTTTAGGGTTTGGGTGCAGTGGAGGGGCTGGCTTGTAGGGGTGAGCATGTAAAGTTAAAGATGCGAGTAGAGATTTGAAGATATAGGTGCCTCAATAATCAGAACGGGGGTTTGAGGTATGTTGTAGTTTCGTCATACAGAGAGTACAGCGGGATAGCTTGTCAAACGCTAATCTCACTCTGCGGTCGGCGGTTTCGGCCAAATTGACCTGCATCTTGCAGAGACGTAGCCAAAGAGATCCGTCAAGAGGCTTGGAGACCTGCTTTAATGTTCTATACTGTTAAGCTCAAGGTGTTTTTTTTTTTTGCGAGGGTTCTTCAAACCTTTAATGGGTTCGGTATGATTCTCGTGATGAAGGGTTTTCTTTCTAAGGAAAGTCGGCGTGGGCAACGTCACGGTCCGTCTTGTGATGCGCAGCGACTATGCGCGGCAGACGAAGTACGCTCTGGAGGACGTTTGGCTAGTTCTCTAAATGAGGATCCTCTCCTTAGATAGTGAACGGGGGAACTTTCAAACTGTTTGGCCTTTTCTATTAGCTCTCAAAGTTTGAACTTGTTGGGGCCCGCCTGTTGAAGAAGAGAGTCTTTAGGTCCCCAAAATACTACGGCACCCCCCAATTCCTAAACCTTATACCCCTTTTCACAAGGACCCTAAGAACGACCTGAAGTTAGAGAAGTAGCGGTGCCCTGTGGACCTGTGAGTCGATGCCCTGGAAGAAACTGTGAAGTGCCGGCCAATCCGATGTACTGTCGCATATATATATATATATATACACACATGTAAGTATGTGTATATATATATATATATATATACAGATAGATAGCTTGTTATATGTGTACATACATCTGCAGTGATAGTTTATTGATCGTTTTATTCATCTTTGTTAGTCGCTTCAACTATGAGAACTACCGGTCGATCTTCACTTTACGTTCAGGGACGTCTCACGAGTTCATGCAAGTTGTTTTCGGATGGACGCGATGGTAGACATGTCGCAGAACGGTCCCAAGCCCTAAACCCACACTACACCCTAAACCGCTTCGTCATACTGGCACTGCAGGAAGGAAGCTTCTCCATAGCTTTGGACGATCGACCACCGCCCATGACAGCACTTCGGTTGCACTTTCCGGTTTCGGTTTAGGGTTTCAGCTTCTACTTGGAGGTTCATGCGTAGTTATAAGTGGTGTTATAAGTCCCTTAATAGGGGTTAAAACTATAGTTACCCTACTTATATACCCCGCGTTTTAACTACACATGAACCTCCAAGTAAGCACAGTGGCGAAAAGTTGTAGGGCCTACTTGGGTTTAGCCGCCTGACTCGCCCATGCACGATGCCTCAGATGTTGTTGAGCATCTTCTGCATCACGTGACACTGAAATCGAGTCGCCAAGATCCATGAAACCCACTGCAATCCTAACTCATACAATGTTAAAATGCTATAGTCAGGCTTACATGCTTGTATTTAAAAATCACGTATGCGCAAATAAGCTTCTATAAAGCAGCTGCGCACAAGTGTTTAAGGGCGACATAAAGCTGAATCGGACCTGTCTGCCCACTCGACACTATGCTTCATGTCAAGTGCTGGGTGAGGCATGCGATAAACCTGTAGTCTCCGTATTTGTTTTTTCGATTACTGACTCCAAAACTCGAAACCCTAGGTTCAGCCAGCTGACTACCGGCAGAAGGAGGAGGAGCACGAGGATCGTGATCATGAGATGATGGACGCGGAGTTCCGCAGGCAGACCTCTTGGAAATTTGGGGCTTGTACAAATATGTATATACAAGTATGTAAAACTTATGCATTTGTGTGTTTGTCGGTTCATTTTGTCATTAAGTTATGTATTTACTTACTTATAGACTTATGTTTTTCTTATAGGGTGTATGTATGTGTATAGATATACACAGACATAAAGGTAGTTCTCTAAATTAGGGTCCCTTGTTAGGTCCGCAAAATAGTACGGTACCCTTAACAAAAAGAGCCCTAACAGGGACCCGATGCAGAAGTACCCATACAGGCCTAAGATGTGTGAGTTTAGTACAAGGTCTTTGGACCTTACAGTTTAGGATTTAGTGGGAGGAGTGCGATTATTCGAAGATTTAGGCTTATAGGGTACTGGGGGACCAGTGTACAGGGGTATTGGGGTGTTCGAGTTCCCTTGTTTCGTACTGGCTTTAGGGGTTCAGGGGTGCAGGGTTCAAGTCTTTGGGGTCGGGTTGAGCAGTCCCACGCCTCTCCCCGTAGCCGTAAACCCCGAAGCCCCAAACACCCTGAACCCCTAAACCCCAAACCTTAAACAGTAATAGACCTGTAAACCCTAAACCCCTTGTAAACCCTAAACCCTCAAGCCCCATATCCTGAAATTCCTGAAGGTACAACGGTCACCTGATGCCGCCATCTCCAGAAGACTTGCCGCCAGAGAGGCCCAACGCTCCTCCTCTGGGAAGCTCCAGTACTCCAGTATATAGGGTTTGGGGCCTGCAGGGTATAGGGTTCAGGGTTTGTAAGGTTTTAGGGTATATAGAGTTTTAGGGTTTAAGGGTCTATAGGGTTTAGGGTCTGTAGGGTTCAGGGTTTAGGGTTTAGGGCCAAAATATGGATTAGGGTCCATAGGGTTTTGAGTCCAGGACCTTTTCCTTTGGGGTTTAGAGTTTGGGATCTTTAGGGTTTAGGGTGTTTAAGGTTTGGGGTGTACCGCGACGTTAATATTGTGTTTGCTTCCTGATTCCAGTTTTTGTATTCTACTAGAATCAGAAAACTCCGATCTTATGATTGCGGTCCTTGTGTTAGGTTTAAGGGTGCGGGGCCGACCTCGAAGTGAGCCCGAAACCCCAAGTTCAAATCTGTTTGAGGTTTTTCGGGGTTTGGGCGGTCAGGGGTCTTTCGATGAAGGATGACTGGCAGAAGAGTGTGTCGTGAGGTCTTTGACTTTCTGACTTCCTGAATTTTGAGACTTTATTTAAGCCCTAATTTAATCGACATAGCCTACCATTTTAGGACTTCTACCAGGAACTCCTGTAACAGTGCAAGTTTTCGGGGGTTAAAGTAGGCCCTAAACGGCACAAACACTAAGCATCTCTCAACTGCATCATTGGCTCTACACCCTGCACTGCACGTGGAGGGTTTTAAATCAGCGCTGCACTTGAAGGCCACTGGGTAGCTAGATTATTATTATTTAGAAGCTGCCCCCACCCTGTAATGGTGGTATAATAGGAATATAATAGGGCCCTAATATAATCCTTATAGTCACTATTACAGGGTGGGGGCCCCTTCTAAATTATTCTGCTCTGTATGTAGAGTAGTAGACGAGGATAGTAGCGGCTTCATCGCATGTAGTCTACTTAGTACCTGCAGAGCAGGGTCCGACGGACGCTGACAAGTGGGAGCCAAAACGTAGACGAGGACAGCAGTAGCAGTACCTTTCAGACGTCGAACTTGGAGTCTGCTGTGGTTGGGGCCCCAAGCATCCGGGGCATGTCTTTCAACATCTAAACCCAAGTCCAGTCCTTTCCACCAAGGAGACGGTGCGATCGTACTGGTTTCCTTCGACAGTGTCCGATGGAAGCCAAGTCAGCTACTTGGCTGCACGAGAAGAGTGTCTTGCTGAACTATGACTTCTGATCTGACAAGGGTTTCGACCACGGCCAAGATCTTTTCGACCGTGAACAAACACATGTCTTGCAAGATCCTCCCAAGCTGAAGTAAAGTTACCTATAGTCTCCATTGTAGTTCCTTTTTGGGGTTACCTTATGGGATCCTTAATATATAATTGGTTAAACCAACAAAAGGGACTACAATGGAGACTATAGGTACACTTTGAGAAGTCTATGAGCACCGGCAGCCCAGCATGTATTCAGCAGTCAACAAGAAAGGGACAAGCCTCTAGCCTGACCCGGCACTCTTCTTTCCTCGCTTCTTTTGTAGGACGGTCGGTTACGGCTTTTTTGGTCTCTAACCGCAGTTGGACTTAACACTGTAGCTGAGTGAGTACACTTTACACTTTTTGGGATAGTACTGTATAGCCCTTATAGAGCTGAAAGTGTACACTTTTGGGGGCTTATGAACTCAGCAACTAAGTGGACGACTGCTGGCAGTTTCTTGCCTGAGCATCTTTTTAACGACCCAGAAAGCCAGAACCGAACCGTGCCCGTCTTACACGGCGCCAGGTTCCAACTGCCAATTCCAAAACGTGTGTAACAATATCAAGAGTTCATAACCTCATAGCTCGTAACCACTGCATACACATCCATGCATGCATGCTTCCAATGTTTGCCATACATGCATAAACACATACCTTGTGCATGCATACATACATAGTCACCGTACACTATGTGCAGAATTAGCGGTTGGTTCATCCCTGGACCCCTTTGGTGTAGAATCCGATCATTTCGCCTATCCCAGACTATCCGCGCATCTCGATCTCGCCGCAGCGGAGTCCGCTGGATGGAATCGAGGTGATCATGCGGACGGTCACTTGGCTTTACGGCACATACAAGTAGTGGAAACATGTAGAATCTGCATGATTGGTTCGGCGGGGTTTAAGGCTAAATAATTGCTATAGTTGAGTTTAAGTGGTAAAGGTCATTGTGAAGTCTGATTGCTTCTTGGGGGTTCTGAGGCTCGATCTCGGTGGAAGGCTTCTTGCGTTATGCTGCTTTGGGGTGGAGTTCCCGCGATCCTGCATGGATTGAGGCACCAGCAGACTATGAACGTACTATCTCGTCACGGGATCCTAACCATCAAGCAAGGCAAGTTAACAAAGGAAGGTTATGGCGGAGAGAGTTTTAAGGTTCGTCTAAGCTCCTTCATCTTGGATTTCTTCTAGAGAAATCAGCAGCAGGCATATTGTCATTGTTTGCATTCTTTCCTTTCAAGTTAGTCGTGCGCTTTGTCGTGATGCTTGAACTAATGCATCTCTCTTAGCCGTTGTAGGGTGTGAAACAGATGGCCCATGGATGATGCCTATAACATCCCGAATTCCTGCGCTTGGAAGGACGGCTTCTACATCCCGCCCTACGCTCGATGCAGATGCCGTTTCGGCAATACCCAGGCCACAGCAACGCAAATAGGATCCTTTCGAGACTCCGGCTATGTATGCCGCATTACACCGCGAAACCAAGTAGCAGGCAACCCAGGGGCTAGAGAGGCCCAGCGCCGTGGTGTCCTCTGCTGGGAGCCCACCTCTCTGTCGAAGTCTGATTGCTGCTGGCCCGGAGCTCTATACCTATAGTCTCCATTGTAGTTCCTTTTTGGGGTTACCTTATGGGATCCTAAATATATAATTGGTTAAACCAAAGAGGAACTACTATGGAGACTATAGGTAGGAGTAGTTGACGACCTGGGCCTCCAGATTTATCTATCAGACGCAAGACTTTAATGCAGGATGCAACTGCTGGATTTTGTGACTCGGTTTGCCGAAGCCTAACACTCTGCTAATTATGGATGTTTGTTCTGAGCATCTTCGTCCGTTCACAGACAATCTGGCTGTGATGCGTCACAATGCTGGTGTCGAAGTTCAGCACATGAAGTAGGGAAACAGCCGTAGGCCCGGGACCGTGAGGACTTAGTCTTCTACTGACGCTAACTACAGAGTTCGTCCGTCGTGCGCCTCGGGCTGCGCGTTTCTTGTTGGGGTGAGCTTGAGTTTCACTGCATCCAGACATATGCTGATAGCAGGTCCCTGCGTACTGCGTGGCGCGAAGACAGCAAGTGCAATGCAGGTCCGCCTTTGGCAGTGCTTCTGCGGGTCACTCTAAACCCTAGCCTAATCTCTTCAGCCTCGTAATCCTTTGCGCGGATCACTCAACATAGACCATCTTTAAGAATCGGTACATATGTATATATATATATATATACACACACACAATTGTTTTAAGGATTTATGGGGTTTTAGCGGCTTAGGTTCAAGTTAAGGTCAAGTCTATGACAATTACACTGGGCCCGTTCAGCCCTGACTATTCTCGCTGGCAACACGGGTAGTTTGGGTACAGCCGTCAGTATTTAGAGCAGCCTCTCCGTGAAAGAAAGCCGCAAAAGTGCCTCCAAAAAGGCTGCAAAAAGCCTCCAGAAGTGACTTGCAAGGCTTCAGAAAGCCCTTAGCCATGTAAGGGCGGGTATTGGAGAAGTAAGGTTCAGGGTTGTTTCAGCTCGGGGTCCGTCCGAGCAGGTCTACCAAGAAGCCAAGCCTGGTAAAGCCTGACAAGACTAGAGCCGAAATGCTGAATCTCCAAGCCCAGGACCCCCCAATGGCCCTTTGATGGAACCCTTATGGTCCCAAATAGTGGGCATTTAGGGTATAGTAGAGGGTAGTTCGGGGGTCTAGGGCCTTTTACTTAATTTTAATTGTCTGAGATTGACTCTTTGAATATGACAGCCCCGAATCCCAAAGCAAAAAAAACCGAAGCTAGAACCAGCGACCTCAAGCCCTAGTCCTCTAAACCTCAAAGCCCCAAACCAAGCCCTGAGGCCCGAAACCCTTCAAGCCCCTAAGCCCTAATCCCTAAACCCGGAAAACCCTGCAATCCCTAAACCCTAATTAAACCCTAACCTTCAATCCCATAAACCCTACAATCCCTAAACCCAAATTAAACCCCAACCTTCAAAACCATAAACCCTACAATCCCTAAGCCCTAATTAAGCCCTAACCTTCAAACCCATAAGCCCTACAATCTCGAAGTTATAAACCCCTAAGCCCCTAGCCTTCAAACCCATAAACCCTACAATCCCTAAACCCCTAAGCCCCAAACTCCCAAACGTACCCAACCGAAGGGCGCCTCCCGTCACTGGCGCTCAGACCGAAGCCCGGCTATCACATAAGAGGAGGTTGAGTTGGGTAGTTTAGGGTTTAGGGCAGGGTTTAGGGTTTAGGGTTTGGGGTTTAGGGTAGGGTTTAGGGTTTAGGGCAGGGTTTAGGGTTTAGGGTTTAGGGTTTGGGGTTTAGGGTAGGGTTTAGGGTACCCTACTTGAGTCCAGTGGCAAAAAAAGGGTACCCTAAATATTAGGTGCCGTAGTATACTAGGGACCCAATTTCAAAAGGGACCCCCAATGTTGACAACCACCCAGTCGGATTGCAAGTTGTACAGGGTTTAGGCTTCAGGTTCAGGACTCTGTTTGGGACCTTAGATAGTGGACAGTTTTAATCAGGCTATAGTAGTTTGTGCCTGAGATATAGTCATCTTGTAATTTTGATCTGTCAACTCACAAGGAAAAGCGCTCGAAGCTGCACTGGGTGAGGTTTGCGGCTTGCTGACCCGTTATGTATAGAACCCTTAAAGCAAGCCTGACCAACGAAGATGAAGAACCATCGAATCATCCCTCAGCGCCGGGAACTTTTGTTTGAGAGTGTAGCCTCCTTCATAGGGGAGTTTCCGATAATAGGGGGACCCCATCATAGTACACTAAATAGTAGGATCCTGCCATTAAGGACCCCAAGATAAGGTAGGTACACTTGGACCACCAGGGTAGTACTTCGTAATTTTTAGACGCCGAGTTGCGTGTGTTGGCACCTTAGGACCTATGTACTAGGACCTAGAGTAGGCCCTTATTCCCTTTTTTTAGGGTTCAGGTTCCCTTATAAGCCCCTTTAAACCAAAAAGGGCACCCTTTTTATTCCTAGGTTACTCTTGGGTCTAGAATTTTAAGCCTTAGGGCTCCCTATTAGTTGCGTGTGTTGGCACCTTAGGACCTATGTATCCCTAAACCCTAAACCCTAAACCCTAAACCATCAAGCAGCTAACACACCCAACCCCAGGTTGAAGCCCAGTTCTCTGTCAACGACGGGGCTGACTGGGGCTATCCTCCAGCCAAGTTTGCGCAGCTTGGATTCTTCGGGGGGAGTTTAAGGCTCAGAGCTTAGGGTTAGGGGCTTTAGGGCTTAGGGTTTAGGGCTTTAGGGCTTAGGGTTTGGGGCTTAGGGGCTTTAGGGCTTAGGGTTTAGGGGCTTTGGACTTACGGCTGGTTACTTTCTCCATATCGAAACAACTTTCGCTCTGAACGGTACAACCCGTCTATGGACTCAAACCATCGTAAGCAACCTCGTGCCCAAACTCTGCCCACTTCCCAACTCTGAGCCCTCAACGCCTGAAGTGCTAGATGCTTCAAACTGTATACATCCTACATGCCCGAAGCCCTGAACGAGTAACCTCGCATCCTAACGTCCGCAAAGCAGTGTGTCGGCCGATATTCCTACAACCCTTGAACCCATATTAGTATACTAGTATACTAATGAACGAATATATTGACATTGATATCTTGATATATTCGTTAACTACTTCAGCAATGTACTAGTATACTCAGACCAACACACACACACACACACACACACACACGCAGCTAAACAAGGTCCTAAACCGTTTCAACCTAACTCTGATGCCAACTAAGCCCCCGTATGAACCATTCGTTGAACTCTGCAACTGCAGGTACTACGCACCTCCACTCTTCGACTCCATATCGCCACCTCTGGGATCGCTACAGGGAGTGATGCCCGGCCAAATCTGTATTCTGCAGAAAGACCCCCGCGCAGGTTTTACTGGGGAATATTGTCAAGGTCCAGTAAGGGTTCAACATGTTTCAAGGTTTTATGTTGAAACTAAAGTTAACTCGGTTAGTTGGCTAGTATGGATTTAGTTAGGAGCTTGGGAAGCAGTAGTTACGACTGAGACATTTTGAAAGCCGATAGCAAGAGCAGGTTCATAAGGACACACAAGTGCGGACGGAGATGTACACAATGAGGGCTACTGCCCTGAGGCGTTTCACAGCATTTCCTGTGGAGCCTCTCCTTCCCTGTTCTTCAGTCCCGTATTTCTTCAGACGTATCTAGTGGTTCTCTGTAAATCACAACTATATTCATTTTAAACCCTTATAAATCTGATAAGTGAATCTTAAATGACTACAACTGGACTAATCTTAAATAGCCTAAATCTGAATTCTGGGAACCCTAAACCCGTCTACCGTCTACCCTACAAGCCCTAAACCCTAAAAGCCCGAAACCATTTTGGCTCAAGTCCGCCGTCAGCTGGCGTGTGTGCCCCTGGAGCGCGGTCGCGCCTTCCGGGCCGCGTCGGGCAGGCTTGAGCTCTCCTCCTCCTCGTAGTCCTGTTCTGAGGCCTCCCGGGTGCATTACTCCACCAGTCCCTCTCGTCGTGTCGTCGTTCGTCGGGATGGCGGGGTCGGACGAAAGTACGCTCCTGTTGCCCCACCTGCACCGTTCCGAACAACTGGAGGGGGGGGGGGGGGGGTGGATGACGCTGGGACGCCAATTAGCTCAGGGGCTCTTCTGGGGGCCGAGCAGCCCGACATGGTTATGCAAGAAGCGGCCCAGGATGCGCTCCGGGCCGCCTTGGGGGATGCCGTGGGTGGGCCGTGTGATCCTGGACCGGGGAGAGGGGTGGGGCTGGCGGAAACTGAAGCCAAGCAGGCTGAAGCAGCAGCGGTGGCCGCTAATCTCCTTGCTAAACACCAAGCCACCCGAGCCCCCAAGTCCTCGCCTAAAACAAGCCCCGAAAAGAAAGCACGACCTCCGACCCTCGATCCCGCTGCCGCCAAAGGACCGCCAGTGGGGCTGCAACCCCCTCCCCTTTTTGGGGGGGGGCCTGTCCCCCCCGACAAGAACAAACGCCCGCTGCCACAGGAGTACGACATTGGTGATGATGTCCCCCCGCCGTGGGCAGCCTCACTTCAGGCGGGCATCGACCGGCTTCATCGAGGACAACACGAGCAGATGCAGGCCATCCAGGTCACTAGAGATTCCATTCAGGGAGTAGCAGATAAGGTGCAGTCTTTGGAGTCGAGGCAGGATTCGCACTTAGAACGAACTGCGGCTCTTGAGCTCCGTTTGGCGGCTATGGAACAGGAGATGAGGGATTTTCGCTCTAGGTCTCCTAGTGTCACCTCAGCATACACTCCGACGCATTCACCTCGTGGGGCTCGTGGGAATCCCGCGCATGATGATTGGCAGGTTGTTTTAGGCGGTTGGAAGGATGCGAAACGCGAGGACATCGAACAAGAAGTGAGAGACTGGTTCACGAGAGCTGAGTGTGGCCCTCTCCTGCAGGCCATGCATTGCAGCTCGGTGCGTTCCAACACGTGTAGGGTCGACTTGCTGTACATGCAGGATGCCATGGCAGAACGACGTAAGGTCCAAGGCATGTGTGTTGAGGCCCTCCGAGCAGTTGCTCAGCCAAGCTCCCTTCCAGGGCAAGGGACGGGGGCACTTTGGGCAAAGCGAAACCGTAGTCCTGAGGAGAGAGCCCGTATTCGAGCCATAGTGTCCCTCAAGGCTCTTGTTGCCAAACATTTGCCCCCCAGGGACTTTGAGTTTGACTGGCGTGGAAGGTTCTGGGCTAATGGGGTCAGTGTGCTTGCCCACGTGGACCAGAAACGTCCGGATGATGGGGCTCTGTTGTTGCTTGATGTACGGGGCCACGAAACGGGATGGTGGGTCCCGGGTCCCCTTCTCGCTCGAACTTTGGGGATTGATCTCAAGGTCTTGCATACACACTTCGAGGTTGAGGCGTCAGGATCCCCCTAGGAGGGTGGCCGGAACAGGAAACGAGGGCGACCCCTCAAACCCGAATTCGTAGCATGTACCTGGAATCTTCATGGTAAAAGTCTCCGTGAGGTTGCTGATCTGTGGCAGGGGACTGTCCCATGCCCTGACTTTCTTTTTGTGCAGGAATTAGGTGCTTGTCCTGGGGCCACTCCTGAGGTTCAGGTCTCGGATTTTTGTTTTGGGTCTGTACCCTACAAGATGTATCACTGCAGCGCGCCCGAAGCACACCTCAACCAGGCTATTCTTGTCAAAACCGAACTGGAATTCCATGCGACACACAAGTCGGGGCTTCCCGTTGGTCTTGTCCTGCATGGTGCATGTCGGAATCACCGAATTCATTTGGCATGTTTGCATTTGCCCCACAGTAAACGGGTCAGCACCGAAGCTAAACCACGATCTTCTGCAGAGGAGGTTTGGAAGGACACCTTGGAGCTACTGGATTCTCAACTGCAGGATACAGGTGGCGAGGCCATGGTCATCGTCGGCGGTGATTTCAACCAGGACCTTCATGCCAGCTCGGACACCTTTTCGGGAATGGGGCTTCTGAGGGCTCTGCTTCAGAAACATAGCCTCTCGTTGCATCGTTCCGTGGGCATCACTTGGACGGCCCGTGGGGCTGCTAGCGAAATCGACGCTGTCCTGGCTCGTGTCCCTAGAAGTCTCACGTATGCTCACAAGCGGGATGACATGCGACTGGCGCTCCCCTCGGACCACTGCCCCGTCTTTCTGAGAATTTGCACCCCGATGCCGCTGCTCCACAGAGGCACACGCCCCACCACCAGGTGTGGCCGGTGGCTGCCCAGCATTCCGGAGCTGGAGAGCTATGCGGCCTCGGACATGGAGTTTGGTCCCTCTCGCATGTCTGAGTTGTGTTTAAAAGCCGAGCGAGTTCCTTCCCTTCGATACCAGGACTCTTCGGACCTTAAGGCCCTTATTGCAACCAGACGTGCCTGCCAGGACCCTCACACGAGAGCGAGCATGTTGTCCGAAATACGGGCACGCCGAACCAACGATCGGCACGAACACCAGTTGAACATTCTGCAGCGAGCCAGGGAAGGGGATAGGCAGGCTATCACGTACCTCCGAAAGAGTGCCGCGCATGCTTCGTTTGAAACCAGCTACATTGAGCAAAGAGGGGGGCAACAAGCGGCCAGCTTGGAACTCCGGCAGTTCTATGACCGCAAATACGCTTCCCTCCTCCCGCCTCCCACCGAGGAGGCGATCCATCGGATGATTGCTACACATTCCTCCGTTAGACCGCAGCCCTTTACTAAGGATGACTTAGGCCTGGCCATCGCCAAATGCAAGCCACGCACAAGCGCTGGCCTGGACGGAGTGTGCTATGAGGCAATCCGGACCTATCATAGATGCGACAAAACGGGCAAGCTTCTCCGCTTCATGAATCGTTTGCTCTTTGGGCAACAGCCTCTTCCCGAGAACTGGTACGAGGCCAAGGTAGTGCTCCTGCCCAAAACGCCCCAACCCTCCAATCCTGCTGACCTGCGCCCGATCTGTCTCTCTCCGTGCTTGTCTAAGATCTTTGGCAGGCTACTGATGGGGAGAGTTGCGCCTAAATGCCCGCCCTACCAAAGTGGGCAAATGGGGTGCAGACGAAAAACTCAGACGGTAGACGGCATCCTCGCGGCGCAGACAGTAATAGGAGTCTTACGCAGAAAGCACCAGGTGGAAGCACATGTGGCCAAGCTAGATATTAGGGCGGCTTTCGACAGTCTTTCCCATTCTTCGATCGTGCACTTCTTCATGCACTGTGAGGTTTGTCCCGAGATCCTCCTGCTATGGCGTCTGTGCTCCCAAAATCGTTTGCTAATGAGTTTGGGAACTGAGACTTGGCGTACCGAGGTCCGCCAAGGGATCATGCAAGGCAGCAGCTATTCAGCTGATCTCTTCGCTCGAGCTATAGATTTCCATTTGCGGGGGCTCCAGGCTCGGTGGAATACCGAGTTTCCCCGCTGGGCGGATGCAATAGAGCTCCCACATTTCCTGCTATATGCTGATGATGTCATGCTTTTTGCGATGGATGCTAGGGAACTTCAGGTCAAACTCAGGGACCTGACGGACACGTTGGCGGCGGTAGGGCTCTTTGTCAACCCTGCCAAGTGCAGCGTGCTTAATATTGAAGGATCGACGCCGGGGGTCTGGCTCCGGGGCTCTTGCACCCCTCTGCAGGGCAAGGACCGCTTGATGTTCCTTGGGGTACCTCTTGCACACACTAATGCCCCCGACATGGTCCTCATGCACCCGCTCAGAAAGATGACAAATTCTTTCTTTGCAATGAAGAAGATCTTGGACAAGCCCTCGACTCCGCACAGGGTTAAGAGTGTTCTCTTTGACTCGTACATCAGCTCGAAATGGCAATGGTGCAGTTCGGTCGTTTGGCCTACGGTGCGCGCGCTGAAGAGCATAGAAGGGCTTAAGAATTCCTTGCTTCTGGGGGTTTTTCGCTTCGGAAGAGATCCTTTCAGCACTTGGTTGGAAAACGTGCAAGGATGTCGTAGAGCACTCAGTGTGTACTGCCAGTGCTTTCGAGGACCGCAGTGGCAGGTGGCCTGGTTGACACGTATTTGGACCTATTTCGGTCACCTTGCCCGGTCCACGGAGGACACGCCCTTACGCCGCATGCTCAGGACCATGGGGAGTCACCGACTCTCCACGGGACAGCTTCGGCCGTCCTGGCTTTCGGAGACGCCTTTTCACAAGTTTCGCTTGGTTTATCAGCAATTGCAAATGCAAGGAGAGATGCCTCATTGGGAATGGCAGGCAACAGACCGCACGGCCTGGCTGGCTATGCTGCCGCGATGGCTGCACTATTGGCATGCGTCGCCTGTCCATCCCCTGACGACGGAGTATGTAGCTGGTCGCCAGCTTGTCGTGGTAGATAAGGGAATCTCTGCTCTACGCAGACGACGTGA